AAGAATGAGTCACTGAGCTTCTGTGAACCCCAAGTGTGGTAACAGTAAGTTAAGGGGTGGGTGGGGCCCGCCAGAGCAGAAGCGTGGGAGGGCCAGCTGGGAAGCTGACTGGGACCCGCAGTGCAGGTCCAGCGTGGTGCCGCAGTGCAGGTGTAGCGTGGTGCCGCAGTGCAGGTCCAGCGTGGTGCCGCAGTGCAGGTGTAGCGTGGTGCCGCAGTGCAGGTGCAGCGTGGTGCCGCAGTGCAGGTCCAGCGTGGTGCAGGCAGAACACAGGTTGCTGGCTCTGGGAACCATGGTTTCGGACGCAGCTGGTCATTCTGGTTGTGAATCATTTTGGGAAACCCAATTACAATGTCCGAAATGGGTGCCTGGGGCTGGGAGATGGCCCGGCAGGTCTTCCCACGGCGCCAATGTTATGAATACGGCTTGAGGTGGGGTCTCTGGCGGATCCTGTGGCAGGTGAGGGACAGTGACCCGCAGACAAAGTTAGTGTGCAAGTTTATTGGGGGAAGGGAAGGGGGCAAGAGGAGAGAGAGGGGAGGGAGACAGACAGAAAGCTGTCTGCTCAGAAAGAGAGAGAGAGAGAGAGAGAGAGAGAGAGAGAGAGAGAGAGAGAGAGAGAGAGAGAGAGAGAGAGAGGAAGTGGTGGGTGGAGTCTGCCTCTTAAAGGGACCTTCACACCTGTATACAGAGCCAGAGTACTGCTTGCCATGCGCATGCGCAGAGGGGTGACACAGTATGCCAGGTTCCCGAGGGTTGGGGCCAGGTTTGCCTGGTTTATAACAAAAGGTTCTTGCTGCCAATCCTGACAACCTGAGTTTGATCCCCAGAACCCATGTGGTGGGAAGGGAGAACTGACTCCTGTCAAGTCTCCAATCCCCAAACATACACCCATGGCAGGCAGGCGTGGGCCCACACACAACTAGATAACTGATTCATAGATAGAGATAGATAGATAGATAGATAGATAGATAGATAGATAGATAGATAGATACATAGATACATAGATACATAGATAGATACATAGATACATAGATACATAGATAGATACATAGATAGATACATAGATACATAGATAGATACATAGATAGATAATAGATAAACACAATGTTTTTATTTTTATGTACTCTTTATGAGTGGTCTGTCTGCATGTACATCTGCACACCAGAAGAGGGCATCAGATCCCCCTATAGGTGGTTGTGCGCCACCATGTGGGTGCTGGGAATTGAACTCAGGACCTCTGAAAGAGCAGCCCGTGCTCTTCACCACTGAGCCGTCTCTCCAGCCACGGAAATTAGATTTTTTAATAGAGGAGCTGGAGTAGGGCTCAGTAGTCCCTAAACCTGCCTAGTACTCAGAATTATTCAGACAATTTTCACTCACTGTAATAGGGGGCATTGAAGCCAGGGTTGGTACTGCACCCCAGTCCAGGAGTTTAAAAGCTGTATCCCCTTGAAGACATGGTGCTGAGGTGTAATGCCTATTAAAGCTCTGTCCCATAATCTTGCTCAAAAGATTCATTCTCCTCTCTTCCATTTGGAACAAACTGATGAACGGCCAGTTGCAACCCCAGAATGCCCTGACTGTCGGGCTGTGCCTGCGTGCTGTAGTTCACAAGAAAGAGAGGATGGAGGGACTTGTCCTTCACAAGAAAGAGAGGATGGAGGGACTTCTCCTTCACAAGAAAGAGAGGATGGAGGGACTTCTCCCTCACACCTTCATTGGAGCATCATTTATGCACCAACTCACTCCTTTACTGCCACCACTGCCTAATTTCATAATTATTTTAATTGCTCCCCTGCTACAACCTCATAGCCAGGAGCAAGTCACTCCCCACTCTCTTTCCTTACACCTGTCGGCTACAAACCTGGGGTCTCTAGGAGCTGCCCGTTCTGGACATTTAATGCATAGCGTTTTGTATTGGTTTCCTCAGCACAGCGTGCTCAAGGTTCCTCTGGGTTGCAGCATGCTTCCTCACCTGTCTCTTTTATGGGCTAAGTCTATTCTATTGAACAGGTGGAAGTCTTGCTGTTTATCCACTCGTCCGCCCGTTTTCAGCTTTTAACAGTAATGCTATCAATGTCTGCTTCCAAGTCTGTAGAAAGACATTTATATGTGGCACGTGAAGGTGAGGGGACAACTGGCAGGAGTCAGTCCTCTGCTTCCAACAAGTAGGACCTGGGATCAAACTCAGGTTGTCAGGGTTAGCAGCAGACACCTTTAGTCCCCGAGTCCTCTCACTTGCCCACATCTCTCTTTGGGATACAATGGACTGGGGTTCCTGGGTCTCCATGGAATTTCATATTTCCCCTTTTGAAAGTGTCTGCTCCCTTTCACAGTCTCACAAGAAATATGATTCCAGTTTCTTCACATTTTTGAGTCATCTGAAGTGTGTGTGAGTGTGTAAGATTTATGTGTATAAATGTTTTTGCCTGCATGTATGTAAATGTACTTTGTGTGTGCTTTGTACCAGAGGAGGTCAGAAGAGGGTATCAGATACTCTGTGTGGTGGCTTGAAAGAAAATGTCCCCCAAAGGGAGTGACACTATTAGGAGGTGTGGCCTTGATGGAGGAAGTGTGTCACTGTGGAGGCAGGCTTTGAGGCCTCTTATATGCTCAAGCATGCCCAGGGAGACAGACCACTTCCTGTTGACACGCATGACATAGGACACTCAGCTACTTCTCCAGCACCATGTCTGCCTGCATGCCACCCTGTCCCACCATGATGATAAAGGACTAAAGTTCTGACCCGTAAGCTAGCACCAATGAAATGTTTTTCCTTTATAAGAATTGCTGAGGTCATAGGGTCTCTTCAAGGTAGTAGAAATCCTAAGACACCCTGGAACTTGTTTTAAGCTGCTGCCTAAGTGCCAAGAAACGCACCCCATCTCTACAATGAGTGCCCACTCTCCAGCCCCCCTCCCCACTTTCAAGATTGGTTTTACTATGTAACTCAAGTTGGCCTCAACTTCCCAAGTGCTAGGACCACAGGTTGCACTACGACTTATGTGGAATTTATAGTCTAGTTATGAGCACCCTAGTCATACTTGTGAAGTGGTATCTTAGTATGGGTTGATGTAGTTTGATTAACTAGTGATATACAGCTTCCCTTTATAAGCACACAGGCCATCCATATATATACCTTTGCAGAAGTGTCTGTTCAAATCTGTCGTCAGTTTTTTGCTTTATTTCATGTTTTGCTGTTAGTTTTACCATACTGTCTCATGTAGCTAAATCACTATGTAGCCAAGGACTTTGAATTTATCCTGGAATTACAAGTATGTGCCACCATGCCCTGCTTCTAATCTGTTGTCATTTTTAAATCAAGCTCTTTTTTAGTATTGTTTTCCTTTGAGACAGGATCTTGCTATACAGCCCTAGCTAGCCTGGAACTGGCTATACAGATTGGGCTGCCTGGAGTTCAAAACAATCCACCCGCCTCCTGAGTGAAGGATTATAGGCATGTGCCACCAAACCCAGTATTACTTTCTTATTAGAGGTTCTTGAAATACCAAAAAAAAGTTTATTTCAATAAATTATAGCATCCCTTTCTTTGGTTCCTTGTGCTTTCAAACTTGTAGTTGAGAAGTCACTGCCTAGCCCAGTGTGACAAAGACAGTTTCTTCTATGGGTTTTAGTTGTAGCTGCTCAGTTTTGACACAGGGTTTGAACATGTAGCTCATGTTGGTCTTAAACTCCAAACCCTCCTGCTTCTGCCTGTCCAGTGCTGGCATTTCAGGGATTTGCCATTAGCTATAGATCTTATATTGAAGTCTATAATCCCCTTTGACTTAATTTTTGTCTTTGGCACAGGCTATGAACAGTCTAGCTTGTAACACTGGCTCATTTGAAGACAGAAGGGTAAAGCCCATGTGCCCGAGCTCAGAGACTGAGAGGCCCCAGCAGCATTAGCTGAAGCAGGACTCTGGTCATGCATAGCAGTATGGCTTCCATCGGGTTTAGGCGATGGGAGAGGCAGGAGCAGGTGTATGGAATGAAGACCGGGTGTTTATAAAGGATGGCATGAGACTGGAAGGGATCCAGAAGTAACTGCACAGATGAACGAGTGGCTAATGAAAGCAATGGCAAAAGGCACAAAGTGGAAAGACCCAGACATGGTACTCAAAGGAATATGGACAAGAGGCAAGATTAGATGGCAAGGAACACAACCTTTGGTCAAAAGCGAGGTGTGAGTATAATCACTGGTTTTGTTGGGCAGCTCAAACAGGTTCTGAAAACACCTGTTCAAATGTATTCAGACGGCTTTTGGGTTTGAGTGGCTTCCTGCCATTTCAATGGCTCTGGTATGTGTTCACTACCCTTGGTCAGTTGGTGCAGTGTAGCTATTTCCCTCCAATCAAAACACTCTTTTGAGAGAAGAATGAGGAGAGGAGAGGGGTCTCATAAGACTCGGGGTTAAGAAGATCCTGAAGTAAGATTCACAAGGCCCATCCCAAGTTCACAGAAGCAGCAACTGCTTGGCGAGACTCCAATCAGTTGAGCTGACCGTCAGTCATGCAAGGGGCTGCAGGGATGCTGTTTCCTAAGACATCACCCAAGCTGGGGTAGGCTTTTCCTGATGACACTGCCTTGAATTCACTCATGCTCCTGTAAGTAACCCCAATAGACTCACTGGTTCACTAACATCATCTTAGGTAGAACTGTTTTTTGGTTTGGGGGTTAGTGCCCTGTTTGAGGTGAAGAGATGTTTGTTCTTAGGAAGCCACACAACTGTCAGGGTCACTGTGTGTTCACTTGATACATACTCATTTACAGGTAACAGAACAATGTAGGCTTTTCAGCACTTCACCCTAGGTTCCCGTAAGAACAGGTGTGTGAGGTTTCAGATTGTGGTCTATAAAAACGGGGAATCTCAAGATACTACAATGTTTCTTCATAAACCAAAGCTGAATAAACAGAGTTCTTATTCTCCTGAAATAGGGAAATTTGTCATTTTCATAGTAAAATCAATAAATAACTTAGGTTTTTTAATTCACTGAGAAGCTTGATGAAATCATTTATTTCAGTAGAATAAAACAACCAGCAGCATGGAAATGTAAAGTGCTACATAAATCCCCCACATACAGAAGATTTGGAAAGTTCATGAGCTTAGATCGCTACAAGCAAAACAGGCATATTTTTCAAGCATGCTATTTTAACTATCTTGATGTGTAGCCATATGCTATGCTGGTCCGTGAAGAAGCCTTAAGTTCTGAAATCTGAGAACTGGAGAAATGGAGATCCTAAGACTTTACCTACCAGCTTCTACATGATTTGGGTCTTATGCTGGAATTGAGGGGCTAAACTGAGGCTTTAACAATAGAGGCCCTTCAGTGAGGTCACTGAATCCAAGGCGCAGGTGGGAAGACAATTTCTACATAGCACATGAGGGGAAAAGCAAATGTACCACTTTGATGTGTCTATCAGATGCTAAAAGATGCCAACACACATAGAGGTAGCCAGTTAGCAACAGTGAGGGGAGAATAGATGAGATCACAGAGCAAAAGTGCTCAGCACAGGCGCCCACGGAAGATGCAGCAAGATCACAGAGCTCCAAAGGCTGCCAGACTACTGGGAGGAAGACTGCGTTAGCACATGACCCTCTCAGCACAGGGTGGTGGCGTAGGGTTTCTCTCCCAAACTCTGACTTCTTTCTAGGAGACTACTGGCCCAGTGTTTTTCATATCCGGTATTATAAACTACGGCCTCAGAATATATTTTTTCATGGCAAGAAAATTTAACAAATGGTAACCTATCGTGTTCCTGACATGGGGTCATCACAAAGTTCTTGGGCTTTTTAGACTTTTCCAATTTCATATGCAGACATAAACAATCTGAATAACTATAAAATGCATATAGTGCCCTTTTAGATTTTAGGTGTTGATACAACAACAAAACTGGCTACCAAATAAAAATGGAAAGTATGTTCAATGGTTAACAGATCCCAAATCACATAATAGGAGTGAAAATTAAACTCACCTTTAAAATGAGTTTGTGAGCTGTTCTAGCATGCCCATAATTGTATTTAGTTAAAACCACATACGGACTTTACAACTACCCTCCCACACATACTTAAAATACATATGAGCTAACTAACCTTTTGTGGAATGACCTAGAAACCAAAAACCATTTATATTCAGTTGTCTTAAAAAAAACTACTTACAAACAGGCTTTGAGAGCATGATATATTTAAAAAGCTGGGGACTGCCTATATTTTCCAGTTAACCCAGCAACACAGGGCCCTCAGGAGTTCCCTTGATGTTATTGAAGGAACACGCTGAAGGCAATATAATATTGCCTTAAGTGGTCTCACTAGGCACTGTGATGAAAAATCAGATGTCAGCATCTGGGAGATTGGCTAGCACTAAGGACAGATAAAATTTTCATTGAAATTTTTCTTGGGCTTTGATTAGTGAACAATTCTAAATAAAAGTTTGCTCTTTATTTCTCTACCACTGTTACTTGGGCCCTGAGTTTTCCTATTAGAATTTTATTATGAATATTCCTAGAATAATTAAAAGCTATGGTGATTACCAAGCTGGGCATATAATATATATATAATTCAAACCATGTACAAATGAAAGTAGAGCAAAGATCTCCTCACCTGACTTGTGAAAGAAAATCAAACTATTTCTTGGCATGGACCCTTTCTTCTGTAAGATAGGGTTATAAAGGCCTGTTTTCTTTTCATTTGTGTGCATACTGGAGGTGATAACAGCATATCAAAGTGGCTACAAAGTCTTTCCTCTTCAAGTAATATCCCAAAACAAAAATATAACAAACATCTTCATAAATGTCTGAAATCAAATTATTGTCACTGAACAAAGTTTCGAATACAAAGATCACAGAATGGGCAATCCCAGTCTCTCTTCTATAAATGACACTTTTCAAGAAGGTGGTGAGCAATTTGCCCTGCCATTCTTTACCCCGTCTCAGTCTACATACCTAGAGATACTCAGTAAGTTACACTGAGTAACCAGTAATACTCTGGTGTGAAGACACCACGTTTTATCTGAAAACTCCAAAAGACTACACAGAAAAGCACTGAAAAATCCACAGAGAAGCAGCTTGGGTCTGAGCAGCCACAATAAGTTACTTGTTTGTGAAGTAGATTAAATAGTAAGACAAGAAACTATGGCTTCCAGTCCCTTAATCTAAGCAGGACAAACTGTTGGACCATAGCCTGAATGTCTACCTACAGCACAATGAATTTATAACGATAAAAAAGTAATGAAGAGTAAATATAAAATAATCTTTTTGTAAACAATCCTTAGGTTATACCCAATGCAGAATGTTTAATGAAGCAACCGAGCCTCAGCTCTTAAGTCACAAACCAGCATTATAACTCAAAGTCAAATATGTATTCATTGGCCAGATATATCCGTCGGAATATAAGAGCTGCCAATGCCAAAGTGAGGATGACGATGAGCATGGCAGACCCGCCGTGCTCAGTGTGGTTGGCTCTTGGTGGCTGGCCTTGGATCACATCGGGGGGCGTGGAGGACCTTCTCTGACTCTGCTGCTGGGCCCGGCGCTGTCGAGGGCTCATGGAGGTATTCTTAGGAGCCGGTTGGGTAGGCTGTGACAAGGGTGCTCCAGATGGATTCTGGGCTCCATACTAGGGAACAATAAGAAAATCTGTTTTAAATTGGCAAAAAAAAAAAAAAGGAAAAAGAAAAACACATTTTGAATATATACTTGTTAACAGTTTAGGAACATGGAGAGTATTAAACAAGACTAAGGTAACTCTACCAAGAACCATGTGAATGCTGAGATGAGGCACCAACCCTGACGAATAAGCCAGAAACACGAGTTATCCTCAGCATTCATGAGGTGGAGGAGCTCGGGTATCAGCAGACACGGGCACTATGGCTGTTTATCTCCAGATGGTGGATGCAACAGCAGTTTCTGCCAAGCATCTGGGCACCGCTCTTCTTTCAGAAGACCCAAGGAGAGAAACAATCTGTTCTCCATTTTCAACTTGAAAATTACCCATTACAAATAGTAGAAAGAATGCAACTCCAAGCCATCTACCTTTGGTGAACCTGACCTCTTCAATATACCTTGAAGGGGAAGCTGCCAGTCTGAAATACTTGTGAATCTCCACTTGAAAGCTGACATTCATTTACACATTATGAGATGCTGGCTGGGGGTGGGAGCTCCCACCTGTAACAGCTCCACTCAAGAGTGAAGACAGGAAGATGGTGAACTCAGGCCAGCTTGGGCTACGTATCAAGACACCATCTCAAGTACAAAGGTGTGGGGTGCCCCTCCAGTGGCAGAGCACTTTCCTAGCATCCACAAAAACCTCAGTTTGATCTCCAGCATAGGAAAAAAACTCAGGCAATTTGAATTCCTTAAAATTACTCTTTGGAGTTTCTTAAATGTAGTTAACCCATAATATGGAGTTATAAAGAAACTACTGGTGAGTTTAGTACCAGGTAATCTATTGAGCCTTGGGCAGTAGATCAGTACTTATCCCGAGTATACACAAGGACTTTGGACTCCCATCCAACAATGTGAGGTGCACTCTCACCCTGAACCCTTAGGGAAGGGTCTAGGCCCTGCCCTGTATGAAATGACAGACTGTGGACAACCCCATGGAGGGCCTCACCCTCCCTGGGGAAATGAGGGGATAATGAGGGGGTTGGGGGGAGGGCACGGGAGGAGGGGAGGGAAAGGGAGAGGGACCTGGAACTGACTTGTGAAGCATCCTTGTTTCTAATCTAAATTTAAACTGAAAAATAAATAAATAAAAAAGAGCTGCATAAACTTAGAATTGTACAATCTAGGACTCCAAGGGACAATCTGCCTACTGAAGAATTCAGATACATAAAACTCAATGTTGTATGGTGACATGTCATCACAAACACCAAACAGTAAGTGAACCAATATTCAATGAACAGAATAAGAGCAGTCAATACAGAAACACTACAGTCTAACTTATGCATCCTTCTGATGCTAAGAGCATATATTATATTATATATATTATATTATATAAGTATAATCAGTAGCTCAACGGCTAAGGTTTAAAGAAAACAATCATCTGGTAACCCAGTTAGCCTTGAACATATGATCCTCTTGCCCCGGCCTCCCAGTGCTAAGACTGTAGACATTTACCACCATACCCAGCAAGGAACAAGGAATAGGTGTTTTCTTTTTTTCTTTTTTTTTTTGAGACAGGTTTCTCTGTGTCGTCCTGGCTGTCCTGAACTCGATTTGTAGACCAGGCTGGCCTCAAACTCACAGAGTTCCACCTGCCTCTGCCTCCCAAGTGCTGGAATTAAAGGTATGTGCCAACACCACCCGGTGAGAAACAGGTTCTTAAGGAAAAAAACATGATGATAATATCTCTATAGCCTAAGAGACTGACTCATACTAAAACTTTACTGAATGCATTATTTTTTTTCCTTAGTTTGAGGGGAGATTATCCTGCCCATAAACTAACAAAACAACCAGACTTTATTAGTTCTAATCTGGCTTTGCCTAGACATGTGTTCCTAAGCCAGTTATTTAAGCTAGGTCTCAGCTCCCTCAACTGTGCAATGATGATAATGTCCAATTCAGCCATTGTGAGGATTAAATGGATTAACAATATAAAGTGCTTATGTTACACAATTACTTAGTAAATGTTAATCATTACTAATATTGTTACTATTAACATATCCTTTTGGAGGCGTCCAGATTTAGATTCAAAAACTAAGTTGTGAATTTACTTATTTATTAGTGTGATTAATACATTTATAAAACAATCCTTAAAACATGCTATGATCTCAGCTCAGGCAGAAAAATTGACAAATTCAAGGCTAACTTGAACTACATAGCAGGACCATGTCTTTAAAAACTAACAGCACACCAGCACACAAGACACTAGGTTTGATCCCAGCTACTACAAAATTAATTAATCAACTGATGCCCAATATTATAGTCCATGTGCTTTAACAAAACTGCTTATGTACTGTTTTATTTAGGTTTCTATATTTCAGCTACCTTTTGGGCAGTGAACATTGGCTAAATACTGACAAAATGCTATGAAATGCTACAATTTTTCCTATCTAAATAATTATAGTCATAGTTAGGGGCCTAGAAATACAGCAATTTTCCATACTAATTTAGTAACACCAGAGAATATATTTTGTTTTTTTATAGTAAATACTCTCTGAAATTTTCATTTACTTACTTACTGTAGTGTGCATGCACATGCACATGCCAGTGTGGTGCTACTGTCACACTTGTAAGTCAGAGGACAGCTGGGTGAAGTTGGTCCTTTCCACCTTTATGTGGGTTCAGGAACTGAACTCAGGTTGCCAGACTTGTGTGGCAAATGCCTTTACCCACTGGGCCGGGAATGCTTTACCCACCAGCCCTGGAATGCTTTTTAATATAAAATAGAATTGCTTAATCAAACTTCAATCTCTGGGATTGGGAAACTGATAGACTGAAGAACATAAGCTACCATTGGGTATTTTTCCTAGACTACTTACTATATAAAAGCAGTAAGTCATAGACAATGACAAAATAAATGACAACTAAATAAGTGTGACTGGAATATGTAATAAGACACTTGACAGTAGATTTAAAGCACACTGATGTGGCCATCTTACTCCCTGAAAGAAAACCACACAAAACGATTTAGTCCTACTTTACAATAGATTATTCTTTTCCAAGTTTCTGACTTTGGAGTCCTACAGGGCCAGAAGTGGCTCAGTGCACTGAGGTGCTCGCTGCAAACCTCAGTTCAGTGCCAGGTCCCACACAGTAGAAGGAGAGACCTGATTCCCAGTAGTTGTCCTCTGCCCTCTACACGCACAGTGGCATATGCACAACTCCCTCAATGAATCTACAAACCAGAGGGAGAGACACAAGATGTGGTTACCTAGTCAAATAATCTGTAAGAAAACTGCCTCCAAAAGAGGTAAGTTCATCATGTATACATGTTAAATCAAGCCACTTTTCCCTCATAACCCTCATTATTTAGCACCAATCCAGTAATACTTGTAATCTATACTATTCTGATCACTTTGATCTGGCCCACTTCTGGAAGCAATGGGTCAGAGCAGAACTCTTACGGTATGTCTACCATGAGACACACTCATTCTTTCATCTAAGATTCCTGGCCACTTACTCTACACAAGGCAGCGTTCAACAAGGCTATGTGAGAGGAGTTTAAGTTCTGTGTCTAAACAGAACTTCTAAACAGAGCCAGCTACCAGTCATACACTACAAGTGTCTAGAACATGGCTAGTGTGCCTGGGGAGCCAACACTGCTAACTTCTAAATCTGCATTGAATTTAAACTTAGGTAACCATGTGTGACTAGAGTAGTATGTAGAACTACTCCAAGGCAAGTTTGCAGCTCAGGGAATTATCAAGTAGTGCCTAGTATCTATTAGAGAGTTATAACTATGCATGTTTTCTCTAGGCTAGTACTATGCTAGCACTAGCTTTAAAGAAGTCATAGCATTCTGAAATGACAACAGGACTTAGAAACTATTTCATCCAATCCCACTAAAAAAAAAAAACTAAAGTCCAGAGAGATTTGTTCAAGACAACATAATTAGTAGGGCAGCTGGGCTAAACTTCTACTACTAAGAAAAAAAAAAGTTTCAGTATTTGATTTACAAGCATCTTACTTTACTCCAAACAATAGTGTGCATTTGTGTGCATGCAGAATGTGTGTATATGTGTGTATGTGGAGTAGGTGTGGAGGGGTGTCACATGTGTGGTGTATGTGTGTGGTTGGTATGTGCAGTGTGGTGTGTGTTTGTGTGTGGTGTGTCTATGTGTGTAGTATATGTAGTGGAGGGGTGTTATGGATGTGTATTAAAAATTAAGAGCCATACCGATGTGCCAGCTGTAGCACCCTGGAATGTTGTAGGTAAATCATCTTGTGAATCATTTAGTGAAAAAGAGTGGTTTAAGTCTGATTCGGCGATAGTCTTTCCAGATGAATTGACTTCAGCCTATAAATAAGATATACCCAAGAGCAGTGTTATAAGAAGAAATTTACAAACAATCGACTAGTCCCTCTCCTGATTTACCCTCACTGCTCCCTTCATTTGTACTAGCAGTTGCTTAGCTTTGAGCTTAATTGCATCTGCTATATGCCTGGTTTGATAGGGAGAGCACTAGACAGTCTGCATTCTCAGGGAGCTGCAAAGGGCAGGACTACAGCTCACAACCTACAGCTCCAAGAATCTCTGTAAACTAAGGCTCTGGGGTGACTTTTAGATAAAGTCTGACGTAACTATGTGAGGCTAGCTTGTGCTTTCTCCAACAATAGTAAACAGTCCCAAGTAGACCGATTTTACAGTGTAACTACTCAAATAAGCTTTATGTATTTCCTCAATCTGAAAACCCACACTATTCAAAACAAATCTGATGCTAAAATGTGAAGATTTTAGGTATAGTAGGAATCCAAGAAAGGATTTTTAATGCTTCTTCTTCCAAGAACTGCTATAAAACTGGAGGGAAAAATCCCAAGAATTGGACGTAAGAAAAGCAGGTAAGAGCGAGAAAGCAGCATACTACTTAATACAGGTTAATTAAATTCCAGAGCATGGGTGTGCTGACTCAAAGTATTAAAATAGTATATAAGTGTTATATTTGGGTAAAATATGCAGACAAGGGGAGTAAAGGGGAAATATGCTGAAATATTAACAGCAGTTATTTCTTGGAGGTGAGGTTACTAACTTTGTTCAAAAAGAACTAAAAATAGGGCTGATTTTGTGGATGGACTGGGGCAGGGGTAGTGCTGGCAGAACAGTACTGGGAGAGACAAGTGGAATTGGGGGGCATTTCTGGGGTGATGTGGAAACCTAACGCAGTGAAAACATCCTGGAATCTATGAGGGTGACCCTATCAAGGACTCCTAGTAATGGGGGATACAGAACGTGAACTGGCCATCTTCTGCAACTAGGTAAGGCTTTTATGGTGCAATTGGGACATCAATCTAGCCACAAAGTCTTTCACATAAAATTTGCTCTGGCTGCAAGATATGCTGGGGTAATGGTGGTACTGAATTTGTGGGAGTGGGCAACCAATGACTGTTCCAACTTGAGGCCCAAAGAGAAAACCCACTCCTGACACTGCCTGGTTGGCCAGGAACCAGAAGTTGGATAACCCAGAGACCTAAGATAGAACCAAACAGGTCTGGCAAAAAAAAAAAAAAAAAAAAAAAAAGTGTTAATGAAATGAGTCCTAACAATATTCTGCTATACTCATAGATCGGGGCCTAGCCCAATAATTATCAGAGAAGCTTCATCCAGCAACTGATGGCAGCAGATGCAGAGACCCACAGCCAAACATGAGCCAAAGTTCAGGGAACTCCTCAGAAGAGGAGGAGGAAGGATTATAGGAGCCAGAGTGGTTAAGAACACCACTAGAACATGGCCCACAGAATCAACTAAGCAGAACTTATAAGGGCTCACAGAGACTGACGCAATAATCTCAGAGCCTGCACGGGTCTAAGCTAGGACCTCTGCATATATGTTATGGTTGTATAGCTTGGTGTTCTTGTGGGACTCCTAAAGTGGGAGTGGGAGGGGGGGTGTCTCTGACTCTTTTGTCTGCTCTTGAGACCCTCTTCCTCCTACTTGGTTGTCTCACCCAGCCTTGATAAGGTTTGTGCCTAGTCTTACTGTATTTTGTTATGCTGTGTTTGGCTGACATCACTGGGAGGATTGCTCTTTTCTGAAGGGAAATGGAGAAGGAATGGATCTGGGGGAGAGCAGGGGTTGGGAAGGTGACTGGGAGGAGTGGAGGGAAGGAAAACTGTGATCAGGATGCAATATATAAGAGAAAAATAAATAAAAAAGAAAAGAAGAAAGAAGGAAGGAAGGAAGGAAGGAGGAAAGAAGGAAGGAAACTAGAATTTGTTAAGCACTAATAATAGTTTTAAATACAACTACAATACTTGTGGTATGTGTTAATTAACATATCCTGACAAAGTCCGATAGGGAAGCACTATTATTTATAGGTGTAAAGGGACACATGATGGTAAGGTACTGTCTGATACGTCAGCCAGTAAACAGCAAAGCTGAGACCCGATGCAGTCTTATACTCCAGTCTAGCTTTAACTGCTATGCCCAAATGCCTGCATGAGTCTAGCTTATACCTTTTGTATTAAGTAAACATTTATAAAACCTCATGTCAATAGAAGTATATTACTTTCCTGTTTATCTAGAATTCAGCAGTAAACTAAAAGGCTACATAACCAGATTTGTTTAGGAGTTTATAGTACCTTAAAACTAATTTGTCTCGCCAGTTCTTTGGCTTCTTGGTCAGCCTGGCTTGAATCACTTCCAGATTTTAAAGGCAACAGGACATCCTTCATGGCAGAGCCACAGCCTTCACAACAGAAATCTTGTGATCTGCAAGGAAACAATGTTATTCAACAAGCACAGACCAAACAGTTGAGCACTAATTCCATTTTATTATGATACTCAAACAGCGGGTAGACAGATGGTGCAGCACTTAAGAACACTGAGTGCTCTTCCAGAAGACCAGGGTTCCATTCTTAGCAACCACATGGCAGCTCACAAGCTAGGGTTCTAGGGAAGCCAATGCCCTCTCTGGCCTTCACAGGTCACACACACACACACACACGATGCACATACACATGCATGTAGGCAAGATACCCATAAACATAAAACAAAAATAAATCTTTTTTAAAATGTTTAGAGATACTCAAATATGGAATAACTAAAAGAAAAGAACACTTATAAACTTCATGTTATAGACCCTATAGGCTGTGAGACAAGGCAGCAACTTAGTTCTGAGCAACGTAAATGTGTTCACTAAAAAACTGGCTTAGGTTTGTTTCATTTTTAAAAAGCAATTTATCTAAAGAAAGATAAGCTTCTGATCAACAGTGGCAATATATTTATATAAACTGTCTAATATACTCTGTGATACTATCCTGAAGAACAAAAAATTTATGAAAAGGTCTAATATAAAGCTCCAAGCTCTCTCTTGGTAGAGACATATACAAAAGGAAAAAAGCCAATTAAAAATAGAATTTATGGCACAGGCAGGCAGATCTCTGAGAGTTCCAGGTCAGCCTGGTCTATATAGTGAGTTCCAGAACAGACAGAAAGGAAATGGTACTTTGAATTGAATGCATTATTACATTATTTAGATAAAAATACACCAAAAAAGAAAAAAAATCTAAGAAAAAGGCAGTGTCACTCTATCACTACCTAATAAAAATTTCCTTTTCCCAGACCATTCATTGAATATCTGGTACATGCTATATAAGTTCCTACAAAGATAGAGTGGGTTCCCTTACGAGCCCCAGGGAGTTGATCTGACAGCTACATATAAACACCATCCGAAGTGGGACAAAAGGGCCAGCAATGCTTTCTAGAAGACATGTCTCCCACTAGAGGAAACCAAATATGGCAGAATGATATCACTACTTTATTTTTTAATCATTAGATGTGTGGGTGTTTTACCTGCATGTATGTCTACATGTGTTCCTGTGCCCTCAGAGAGCAGAAAAGGGTGGTAATTGGATCCTGCAGGGCTAGAGTTACAGACCATTATGAGCCATAGCGTGGGTCCTCTAAAAGAGCAGTCAGTGCTAACCACTCAACCATCTCTCCAGCACATCAACTCATTTTGAAAGGATGAAATAGCTGGGCTGGTACTACAATTTAGCTACTACAATTTAGTAGACGAGTACCTGCCTGGTAAAACCCTGGGACTGATCCATTAATACTATAAAAAAAACCTGAGATCAATTTTTTATATTCTGACCATTACAAGGAAATTGGCGGAACTGTATTTCTATAATGTCAAGGCTGGATCCTTAGCCAAGAGACCACAGAGAAAGAAACCTAACAGCATTATCACTAATGCCAGTCAGTCTTAACAAGGAACTTACTTTTTGGCAAGTGCTCTTCTTTCCTCAGGTGTGTAATCTAGAGAACCTATGGCTCCCTCTCCTTTAGTTGGCATAAATCCAATGATGGCCAGCAATGCTGTCCTTACTGAAACAGAAAGTGAACATCAATTTAGTGAAAGGAGCTGGGCTAAGAGGTGGGTAGGGGCTGGGTTAGGATAGGAGCTGGGGAAGAGGTGGGTAGGAGCTGGGTTAGGATAGGAGCTGGGGAAGAGGTGGGTAGGAGCTGGAGTAAGAGGTGGGTAGGTGTTGGGGAAGTCTTATGTCAATAAAGCACTGTTGAGCCAATAGGAATCTAGATAGGCAGGACTAGGAGTCGAGGAGGATTCTGGGTAGGAGAAACACAAGAGTCGAGATGTAATGCCATGGGGTAGGAAGCCCGGAAACTTCTCCCGTAAGAGACATACTTAGATTAACAATTATGGGGTAATTACTTAAGTCAGTGCTAGCCAGTAAGAAACAAGCAAGGCCAACAGCTTCATAATTAATATAGCCTCCTGTGTGTTTATTTGGGACTGATGCGGCTCTAGAACCAAGCTGGCAGGGAGGCTTCTCTCAAAGAAAAAGCTTCTCTTAACAGGTAGGGGCTGGGTTGGGGTAGGAGCTGGGGTAAGAGGTGGGTAGGAGCTGGGTGTAGGGGCTGGACTGGGTAGGAGTTGGGGTAGGAAAACAGATCAGCAGGGCAGCATAAATACAGGGACCCAGGCTTGGTCTCCAGCACTCATGCTCCCTATGTGTTTGTTGTATGAAAGAAACAAAGAGTAGGTAGACCCAGCAATGCATACTCTAGCCCTCTCTGGGGAAGCAGAGATAGGAAGCTTCCTGGGGCTTGCTTGGACATCAAGTCTAAAAAAACGTGCAAGCTCCAGGTTCAGTAAGAGACCTTGCCTCAAAAAATAGGATAGAAAAGAATTAAGAAAGATACCCTACAACAACTGCTGGTCTCCATACACGTCTACACATGCACACATGCACGCACATTCTAAAGGGAACTAGGTTTATTCTGGGAGGAAAAAAAGATCTGAAGATTTTCAGGAGATGTGAGAGGTTATTAAAGTATTGTACAAACCTAGACATGAAAAAGTATTCTTTGTTAATTTTTCAATGGTACCACATATTAACCACAACGTCTTCACTTACAGCTCTTCAAGAGTGTATTATAATTCACAGTTTCAGGAGGTCCCATTTATTAATTGTTGACCTCACTGTCTGTGCTACTGGTGTTATGTTCAGGAAGCTGTCTCCTGTACCAACTCGTTCAAGGGTACCACCCACTTTCTCTTCTAAGAGGTTCAGTGTGGCTGGATTTATGTTGAGGTCTTTGATCGGACTTAAGTTTTGTACATGGCAACAGACATGGATCTATCCGCATTCTTCTACATGCCAGCATCCAGTTATGCCAGCACCATTTGTTGAAGATGCTTTCTTTTTTCCATTGTATATTTTTAGCTTCTTTGTCGAAGATCAGATGTTCATACATGTATGGGTTAATATCAGGGTGTTCAATTCAATTCCATTGGTCTACCTGTCTATTTTTGTGCCAATACCAAACTGTTTTCAGGACTACAGCTCTATAATAGAGCTTGAGGTCAGGGATGGTGATGCCGTCAGATGTTGCTTTGTTGAGTAATGTTGTTTTGGCTATCCTGGGTCTTTTGTTTTTCCATACAAAATTGATTATTGTTCTCTCAAGGTCTATGAAGAATTGTGCTGGTATTTTAATGGGGATTGCATTGACTGTAGATTGCTTTTAGCAGGACTGCCGTTTTTACATTGATCCTACCTATCCAAGAGCATGGGAGATCTTTCCATTTTCTGAGGGCTTCTTTAATTTCTTTCTTTAAAGACTCAAAGTTCTTGCGATACAGATAATTCACTATTATGAACTTAACACAATGATGGAAACTTGTATTCACTAATACTCACTGCTCCATGAAGGCTGCCAGGTTTCAGGATGATGCCCTGAGATGCTCAGGCAGATCTTCTTGCCTACTTCAAAACGTCCATTAGCCTTAGAAAGAAAGAACACATTTCAAAAACTGCAAAAGTCTATTTAACACCTTCTGCTTCCCAATAACAAATATATCATATTTATATATAAATAATAATTTTAAACATAATATTTAAAAGATTTTAACTCTAAAGGAACACAGTTTTTTTTTGTCCTCTTATAGGCATTCAAAAAATATTTGTTAAATACTAAATAAATAATAAAGGCTGTTTTTAGAAGCTATAGTAGCACCTGAGACTGAGCAGCACAACTGGAATCTAAATAATTATCCTGTAAAGGTTTATCGATGTTATGCCCTGTGCCTACTACAGATCTAGGTTTGCATAAAGAGAAGACACATAAGAGGCCAAAGTCACCTGACTAGTTGGAGGAGTCGTGAGACAGGAACAGTTTTTCAGAAAGTTGATACTATTTAATTAGATGAGCAGTGACCATCACTTTGGTTTGGACATGGATCTGATGACTCAATAGGAAAGCTACCAATGACCTCTAGCAGGCAGGCAGAAGTAGAAGCATGCCGATGTCAGTAAAGATTAACAGACTCTTGGCACCTCTCCTCAGAAGTAGCCACTGAAGTTATTCCCGCAGATGAAAAGCAGCTGTGACCCTGAGCAGGTGAAGCAGCCACAACACCGAGGAAGAAGGTAAAGAAAAGGCACTAAGGCAGAAGCAGCGCTCCACTGGGCGGAGGCTGACTCAGTCCTGTCATCAGCGTGCCTGGGTCCCGCTCAGTAAACATTTGCTGAATCCAAGTGGGAAGTGACTTTTTCTTTTGCTTTTGTTTTCTGAGACGGGTTTCTCTGTATAGCTTTTTGGAGCCTATGGCTCTGTAGACAAGGCTGGCCTTGAACTCACAGAGATCCATCTGCTTCTGCCTCCCAAGTGCTGGGACTAAAGGTGTGTGCCACCACTGCCAAGAGGAAGTGAACAAGAAGGTAATACTGACTACAGAGGAAGGGAGGGCTGCTCTTCAGTGTGGTAAATCCAACTGATCCACTGGTTAACTACTAGTAAAGAGCTATATACACAGAGGGGGGGGAGGGGAGGGAGGAGGGAGGGAGGGAGGGAGGGAGGGAGGGAGGGAGGGAGAGAAACAAAACTAGTTCAAAGACAATATAAAGCCAGCAGGTGGTAGGATGAAAAGAGCACTGCTCAGAGCCCTGAACAGATGATCCCAAACAAATGCCTCTGCATGCCCCAGAGGACAGCTGCAGCTCCAGCAGCCTGCTGTTATGGATAACACCTCCTGTCAGAGGTCAGAGTGTTACCCTGTGAGTCAGATAAGAAGCCAGGCGGAACAGGATGAAGACTTGAGAAGCCATGGCAGTTCTCAGATAAGCAGAAAAAGTATGTTTCAACAGAGAACAGTGTGAAACTAGACTGTAATAGCCTACACAAGAGTAAGGTTATCAAAAACAAAAGGGTCTATGTGTGTGTGTGTGTGTGTGTGCGCATGTGTGTGGTTAGGAGAAAATTAAACGTGAGGGTAGGGAAAGTTTAGCAATCAAGACGTTAATATATAAACAGTCTTCTTTCACATGAAGGTAGAAATTGAGTTGTAAACAGAAGGAAGATAACATTTATTAAGGTTTCTGTGGCAGGCGCTATTCTAAGAGCTATTACAGGGTACTGATCTTTCATTTCCATGTCAACTCAGTGCGACAGATGGTAAAGTTCACTGCAAATGTGAGGAAACTGAAGAAAACAATGTGGAATGGCTCTGAGCTGTCCTCAGAGTATGACCATGAGCCAGGCAGCACGCCTAGTGCTCCTCACACATTAATTCACTGAGTCCTAACCACTGTGCTATGACATCTATGTATCCCATAATACCACCAGTACTTCACAGATGCAGCAGCATCCTCGGAATTATTCTTAGGACAAAATACTACACTTCTATGGCCTACGCTCTCAAGGCAAAATTAGAATAGCATTCTACTTCATTTCTTATAAATATGCTGACTACATCTGTAGAGAGCCGGAGAGGTTAACCCGCAAGCACTGTAAAAAGTCAAGAGCTCTTACCGTTAGCAGAATAATGCTCGGTGGTTTCATGGGATACTCTGGTGGCAGCACTATTCGTCCATGATAAACTCCTCCATCAAAATCAGAATCTGGGGGCCCTCTAACTGTGAAGTGCCATTCAAAAAGGTTATCCTAAACAAAAACAAGAATTATCTGTTTTTCAAAAGTGCCAGGTGAGGGAAATCAAATGCTACCTAATAGTGCTATAATAGTCTCTCATGCTCAAAATGCCTCAAATCATTCGTAAACAGGTGCTATTTAATATAAATTTTGTTTCATAAAAGCTAAAATATTTTTAAATCAAGTATTTAATTTGATCTAAAATTTAAATTTAAAAATTAAAAAATTGTAAGTCCTATTATATATTCATAAATAAGATTCATTTAATTAAATTAGAAATTAATGCCTCAAAAATATCAATTAGTGGAAATAGTCAAATCATTAGCATAAATTCCATTATGAATAACTTCATTGTGTATAACTACTCAGTAATATTAACAGACTGGCTATATGTCATTATACAGTTGCCAAGTTAGTTTTCACACTACAAAGTTCTTACACATCATATTATGTCTTCACTGTTCCCATGAGAACCTGACTGTGCACAGTCAGCATTCTCCTTTCATGGTCAGAGACAGGTAGAGATGCTTATGTCAAAGCCTACATGGCTGCAGACACCCCTGACGGGTCTGAGTCTTCTTAACAGTGCAGTGTATGGGGTTCTTTCTCCCTTTATCCCTCTATAATGAACACTCAGGAAACAGAATAAAGCAGATCAATAAGCAACCTCAAAGGCATCAACAACTCAGAGCAATGAAGTGTAGTTCTGAGTTGTCTCGGGCACTGAAGTCCTGCAGTCCTCAGGACAGAGACAGAAACGAACCTCCAGAGGCTGGGCGTGGTAATGATCTGTTGGATCTTTCAATTCTGCCGCTTCTTTCATCAATCGTTTAACAGCTAAAAGAAAATCCCAAAATGGAGATATTTAAAAACATACTTTTCCAAGTGATCAGCACAGGCTAATAACCTTTCTAGTCGGGGTGGTATCTGCTCGTCTTTAATCCCAGCACTCAGGTGGTAGAGGCAGGTGGATCTCTGTGAGTTCCAGACCAGCCTGGCCTACAGAGAGCAGACAGAAGAAAGCAGAGGTCAGGTGTCTGCCCTTGAAAGAAAATTGGGTAGCTTTAAAAACTAGCAAAGAAAAATAGGTGGGTAGGAACAGGTGGAGGAGGTAAACTCAACTGTACGAAGGACAGGTCAGAGTGTGGTAGGAACAGGCGGAGGAGGTAAACTCAACTGTACGAAGGACAGGTCAGAGTGTGGTAGGAACATGCTAAAGGAAAGCAACTCCCACACAGAAAGAACCAGATCAATCTGGTGCTGCTTTTCATACTATTTCATTTGAGTCTACATTTTTTAATATAGGCTTTAAAAAAATTCCTATCCAAGAGTGATGCCACACACCTGCAACCCCTGAACTCAGGAGGTCAAGACAGTAAGATTTCAAGACTGGGCCACACAGCAAGACTATTTCAAGCAACAAAAACTAAGTTCTTGAGTCATCACTATTCTACTTCATAATTACTAATACTCTTTCCCATCTCCTACTGTGAAGTGAACCCTTGAAGTCGAGAACTTATCCACTTATCAAATACTTCAAGTACTTGATAGGAGCTAGATATAACAGCTACAATCATAAAATTCTAGGTCATCAAGGTGCTTAAGAGTTGGAAGGCAGTCAGTATTAACACAGCATGAAAACATCTGTATTAGAAACATACACATTTGATACAAGGTCTCCCTCCAAATTCCAGACACTCAACTTTGTTCAGTTCTCAGACACACCCCACCTTCTCTCTACTGCAGACCTCCTTAGTGTTTCCTCAGCATGCAAAGCTGTTCTGGTACCATCACTTAAGCAATGTCTTTTGTTACTATGATCTTGTTTCATTTTGGCTGGTTTTTTTGTTTGTTTTGTTTTTTGGCTGGACTGGAACTCACTTGCCTCTGCCTCCCAAGCGCTGGGATTAAAGGCATGCATCACCATGCCTGGCCTCTAAGTAACTTCTTCAGGAAGGTTCACTTGATACTTAGCTGTCCTTCCTCAGAGGGACTAGAAAATCTCATCTGGGCAAATGAAAGTAAAGTTTCTGATAGGACAGAGACTAGGATGCCTCTTCCAATGATTCTAATGGCCAGTCATGTTAGTAATCCCTGCCCTTGGACCAGCTTGAGTCTCTTGCTATGTGTTGTCAGGATACTGCAGCTGCAGTATCTGTTTAACCCCTGTCTTTTCTGCTAAGTATTGTAAGGCTCTACTTCACTGTGGCCTCCTCAGAGCTTAGAGCTGAAAGTATGTGAATATGATGAATGGATGTTAAAGTCTTTCATCCTTTCTCTTCCAAAGAATCTGGAACTGTGACTGATAATGTTTTTGAATGAACTTGACTAGACAAAATTCTTTATTCAAAGAAAAGCTTAATGAGAACCCTGATGTGAAAAATAAACAATACAAATCTGTTTTGGTTGAAAAGGTCAGTGTGGAAAGGCCTCCTATCTAGAGACCTGTGGAGAGGAAATGAAGGCTAAGATGACTCAACACATCTTAGTTCAGTCCCCAGGACTCACGTAAAAATCGAGCAGCAATGACATGCATGTTTGTGAAGCCAGCATACTGTGGTACCACACGACAAGGTGGAGACAAGAAAGCGCCTGCAAGCCAACTACAGTACACAGCAGACACAGCAAGTAAGCGTCCACATCAACATAACGGAAGCCAGAGCTGATTCAGGAAGGCTGTCCTCTGACCGCCACAGTCACCTCGGCACACGCACACCTGAACACACAACAATAATACTAATGACGATGATAATAGCAGGGTTTTACTTAGGGTTTCTACTGCTGCAATGACACACCATAACTAAAAAGCAAGTTGGGGAGGAAAGGGTTTATTCAGCATACACTTCCACATTGCTGTGTATCGCCAAATGAAGCCACTACAAAAACTCAAGGAAGGCGGAACTTAGAGGCAGGGGCTGATGCAGAGGTCACGGAGGAGTGCTGCTTATTGGCTTGCTCCACCTGCTTTCCTACTGAGCCGAGGACCACCAGCCCAAGGATGGCACCATCTACCATGGGGCTGCCCCCCCAACTGATCACTAGTTAAGAAAATGCCTTGCAACTGGATCTCATGGAAACATTTTCTCAATTGAGGCTCCTTCCTGTCTGATGACTCTTGCTTGTGTCAAGTTGACATTAAACCAATCAGTACAAATATAATACAGAAGTCCTCTGGTATCACTTTTCCTGATGCTGTAATAAAATCCCCTGACAAAAGCAATTTAAAGAAGGGGTTACCCTTGTTCACAAGGTACAGTTCTTCGTGGTAGGGAAATCAAGCAGCAGCTGGTTGGTTACACTACATCCACAGTCAGGAAACAGAGAGATGAGTGCCAGAACTCAGCTCACATTTCCTTTTTATATCAATCCAGAACCCTAGGCCATGGAATGGTGCCTCCCACAGTCAAGGTTAGCCTAATCTATATAATTCTTTACAGGAAATGCTCAGTTCCATCTCCAGGGTATTCCAGATATTGTCAGGCTGACAACCCAATATGGTGATGGTGAATTTCAACTGTCAACCCCTCCTCCTCTCAGCAAAGTTAATTTCCTAGAGTCCTCTGACTGTGAGGAACATCAGTCAAGGAAGGGAATGACAGCTGCATCTAACTCTTAAGTCTTCCTTTTATGGAAGCCATTTGGTCTCTTTGGATCAAAACTTTAGGCTCCATGGGCCCCAGCATTTGCCCTCTTCTTTTGCCCAGTTAGTTCACTGAACTTACACTAAACTTAGGGCCAAAACATAAAAATGAAAGGATCTTTTATAGGCCACTGTCTTCCAAACATCAATTCTTCTTGGAAAAGTCCCTATCTTAACCACTGAGCCATTTCTCCAGCCCCTGGAAAGTCCCTATCTTAAGATCATCAGTTCCCAAGACATGGTGAATTTCAGGAGGCAGGTACATTAAAAATGTAAACCCTAAATGATGCTCCCAACTGCCTCTTGCTGTTTTCAGAATGAAGGCTTGTCAGCAAAAGTTTAAGAACTAATACTTCTGCTTACAAAGACACTTTTATGCACAGGTATTTACTTAAAAATTGTTTTGAAGATGTGCTAGAAGAAACTCAGTGGCTTTCTGAGTCCCACATGATGGAAGGAGAGAATTGACTCCAGTGGCATGTCCTGTGATCTCCATGAGTGCCATGGTGCCTATACACACACTAAATGAATAAATGCTAAAAACTAAAAACAAGGCAAAACAGGGCTGGAGAGATGACTCAGTAGTTAGGAGCACTGGCTGATTTCTAGAGGGCCCAGGTTTGATTCCTAGCACCTACATGGATCACAATTCAGTTACAAGGGGTTCCATGCCCTCTTCTGGCCTCAATGGGTACCAGGCACACATACACAGTGGACAGACAAACTCAGGCAAAACACTCCTATACATAAAAATAAAATAATTTTAAAAATTAAAGCAAAACACATTTGAAGACTGTCTGGGTGGAGAGAGAAAAGGGCTAACTTCCTGCCTCAATAAGCTTATAGAAATTAGAAGACCTGAAAATAATATTACAAGGAAATGACAGTATTGCCCAAGTATGAGTAAGTTTAAGGACTACCTAGCCTACCCAAGGGAGATGAGAAGGCTAACCATTATAGAAGCTTGAAGAAGTGACAGGAATTTCAGATGGGTTAAATGGAACGCATTCCAAACAGAGGATCCAGTAGGGTAGGAGATGAAACATCTGGAGAGGCGTCTAAGAGACAGGTGATGGAGCTGGAGAGGAAAGCAGGGGTCAGGTCCTGACCAACCCTACCCCGCAAGCTAACCAACTAACTCTGGGCTTTACTGGCTGCCTATACTGCTATGATACTGGGGTTACTGCTGAGACACTGTCAACTTGAGAAGTGATTAAGTTTTTGTTTTAATAGATCTGATGACAACAGTGACACCTTCCACCACAAAGGGTAGAGGTGAAGAAGCTGAACAAGAAATTTATGCCTCCAGGGCTGAGCATATCTCAGTAATATCTAGTTTGCCTAGCATGTTCAAGGCTTTGGGCTGGTGTGTGAAGGGCAGCAGCTCCCTGAGTACTGTGAATCCATGGGATATGCATTTTCAGTAAATATAAAAGTTTGAAGAAGGTGAGGATACAACTCACAGGTTTTTGCTTTTACAACTCACAGATTTTTTTTTAGTCTGTGGAAATCTATAACAATGTTCAATCACTATAGTTCTATGTATCTACAACTGAGATGGGTCTGAGTGGAATGAGAAGTCTCCTATGAGGCTTCAGTTGACACCAACAATAAGAACCGGGATAATTCCCAAGTTTCTGTTAGAGATAGAATATCTCTACAAACCGAACAAAGTTACCATCTACATAATACAACACTAAGCATTTTCTGTATTGTCTTCTTAAATTTTCCCATCCGCATAACCCAACACCAGCAAATAGGAAATGACATGTTTAGATTCCTTCCTTTCACATAGCTATTAATCTACAAACAGCAAAGGTTTGAGACTAAATTATCGCCACACTTCTCAGTAATTCAACAAGTTCTATGGTTCATCTAATTTACCTTCTCTATTAACTCAAAATCGTCTACACCAATAGCAAAGATTTTTAAAAACTTTCTTTTTAGAACACCATCGTCTTTGAAGAAACCAAAGAGGATAAAATTTATAACAGATACAAAAGTCATCTAAAACTCAGCATTCTTTGGAAATTTACTAACTCACTATGTAGACCAGGCTGGACCTCACAGAGATCTGCCTACCTCTGCCTCACAAATGCTGGAATTAAAGTCACATACCACCATACCCAGCTAAAAATGTATTAATTTCTAAAGTTGCTTAAATTTTATCATAATCTTAAGTATGATAACCTATCAAGATTGAGCAATTTGGGGCTGGAGAGATGGCTCAGAGGTTAAGAGCACTGATTGCTTTTCCAGAGGACCCTGGTTCAATTCCCAGCAACCACATGGCAGTTTACAACTGTCTGTGACTCCAGTTCCAGTGGATCTGACACCCTCACACAGACATGCATGTAAACAAAACAGCAATGCACATAAAAATAGGTCAGTAGGAAACAAAAAAGATCATTAAAAAAGATTAAGCAATTTCCTGATATTTCATTATTCTCTGGACATTGACTAATGAAGTACTGTACAATTTACCACAGTTTTTTTTTTAAGTCCAACTAATTTAACCATTCTGGCATCAAAAGGGTAAAATTCAAGCATTTCTACTTTCTCTGACTTTTAATTCTTCAGGTTTTAAATGATGGGCTTAAGATAGAGAATGGAGTCCCATTAAAAGTCAGCTGTGTAAACGTCATTCTTGCACAGCCATGGCCAATTTTTAAACCAATCTCCTAAAATAAGACGGATTCTACATCCAGTCACCTAAAGACACTTACTTGACAGTATTCAAGCTAACAACATTCTGTTCAGTCAATATCCTCGGGCTTTGCATTTCTATATTCTCTATTTTTTTAAACAAAGACTCACAACATCCCATATGGATGTTAGACTTAAAAGTTCAAACTAAGAAACAGTGTCGGAAAGAAAAACAACAAAGAACAGCGGCAAGTGTTCTAGTTCGAAGATCATCAATACCATGGGGTTTATTATTCAGTGCTAACAGAGTTTTCTTCTCCTGACAAATTATAAAGGGACATTTAGAATAAAGACCATTTACAGAATCCAGTAATTCGTGTCACACCTGGCTTAATATTAGTCAACTGATTGTGGGTTTTTGCAATGTTTTTAATGCATCAGAAAGTGTCGGGGACATTAAACGAAGGAAAGAAATTCTCTGCGTGAATTCAGATGTAGTTCACCCTCCAAATCGTGGTTAATTCTCAAGTACACCGATCAACTAGTTTAGTTAGAGGGCAGTTACGTTATGTCTACAATTCCATTCACCTCCAAATACCGAAATGGGATACTGCAACGACAGATCCCTCAAATTTGAGTCAAACACCTAACAAAAGTTCGTCGGGAGGTGGTCCTAGACTGCGGATACAGCCAGGGGGTACAACACGCTGACGTCGCCTTTACACCTGCTCTTGACACCACGGAGACTGGGAAGGAGAGGCCGGGTGCTAAGGGGCGACAGCAGGGCTGGGGCCACAGCAGGTCTGCGGCTCCGCAGCGGCCGCCCCGCCCTGCGGCCTGCACCCCGGGACCGGCAGCGGCCTCGAGTAAAGCGCGAACCCGGAGCAGCCGCGAGGTCCGGTGGACACGAGCCGGCCGAGGTGCCGCTCCGGGACTCCGGGGTCTCCGCCCACCCCGCCCGCCCGTCCGTCCGTCCGCTCGCCGCCCCAGTCGGGCTCACCCGGGCTCTTCAGGTTGTAGCGGGTCTCCATGGCGGACCTCCCGCTGCCGCTCCCGTCAGCGCCGCGGCTGCCCGGGTGTCGCGCGGCGGACGCGCCTGGCGAGGGCCTCCGCTGACACCGCCCAGTCCGGCCCGACCGCGGGCAAGGTGCGAGGCGCGGGCCGCGGGGTCCGCCTCCCTGAGGGCCGGCCGGGCGCCAGGGCGTCACCGAGCGAGGCGCCGGGCTGCGGACGGCCTGCGGGGATGACGTCAGAGCCCACGCGCCGCTGCGTCACCGCCCGCGCCGGCTCTGTGAGGTCGGCCTGACGTGGCCCTCGCTTCGTGGCGCTCGCTCGGCGGCCGCCCGCCACGCCTGCGCGCCCGGGGACCTGCGGAGCCGGGGGGCATCTTCATCGTCCCCTCGGCCCAGCCCCGGAGGCCATGAGCTCGCGGGCTGGTCGGGGAAACGACGCGTCCCGGAGCTGCGGGCGGGCGGGCGCGGCCTGGGTGCCGGTGACCGGGACGTGCGCTTCTCCGCTGTTGGTCCTGGTGCGAGGGACTGGAGTGGACTTGGGTCCCAGTGGCCCCGAGCTGCGTAATGCGGTTAGCTAAGACACCGTTCTCTCTCGGGGTGCAAGATGAAACCAACGGGTCCGTCGGGTTTTAGTAAAGGCATATAAATATGACAGGCCAGACTTGAGAGGACGCGTGCGTGTCTTTGTCGAATGTGCAAGGCACAGAAAACTCGGTTCACAAGGCTTAAGAGGACCGCGGGACAGGAAAGGAGGGACAGGGACCGGGTCCCAGTAGAGGTTAGAGGTTCTAGGTGGGATGAAGACAGGTGGACAGACTCGTTATATACAAACCTTGTTTGTTGTCTGTACGCGAATTTCATAGTGATTTGTCCCAGCCGACCGAAGTGGGAAGGAAAAAGCTACATTTAAATGGCATCTTTTTTAAGCCATTCAAAGGGGATATTTTCTGAGTAGTAAACGTAATCTGATGAAGAGAAGCAAACAAAAACAAACTCCAACGTGCTTCTTCGGTCCTTCGTTTTTGTGTTCCGTCCTCAAGTTTAGCATCCAACACCTTCCTCTGCAGCCAACCTCATAACCAGGCATGCAGTGTTTCCCAGTCTACTACCGTCTGTGGACGCACGCTCCCCTGAGGCTCCCCCTTTTCTTCCAAACAGTGCAGATGAGGATGTTTCCCTTTAGTTTGAAGGCACCGTCAGCAGGTCGTGGGGGCTCTGCTCGGTACAAAACTGGCTCAGTTGGAATTACAGCCTCTCCTTAGCTAAAACAACAAATCTGGCATTGAGTTACGGGCACATGTCAAAGCTTAATTATAGTCGCTGCAAGAGAAAAGCCAATTCTCTAAATTGAAACATGTACAGATTGGGAAAATAAGTTGATAAAAAGGGAATAATGCTACTTAAAGGTTACTAAATTCTTGACTGGTAACTGGATGGCAAGGGAATTAATTTTCCCAGAAAATTTAGATTTATCAAAAGAACACTTTTATCAGATACAAATTTCTTCCTAGAAGAAAGTTACAGTTTAAAGGAGACAAAAAATTCTAGCCCATATTAAAATTTGGAATCATTTTTACCTTAGTAATAACCCTAAAAACATTTTTTTAAACCGCTTAAAGTTGTCTCAGGAGCTACCACAAATGGCAAAAGATGGAGTTCAAAACACTTCAGTCTTTTTGTTTGTGACAGGGTTTCTCTGTGTGTCTCCTGCTGACACTTCAGAATCTTGACAACTTTGAGCTACCATCCCTGTGTGTTCCTTTTTCCCGAAAGAGCAACTGAAAAAGCCTAGTACACGGTCTACCGTTGTTGAATGATTGATTAATTCATTTATTCTTCATAAATTATTCTTCAGATTGTAGACAATAATGCAGGTTATCTTTTTTTATAGGTGAGGAAAATTGAAGTCTTAAATTAAGCACAGGAGAGCCAGGGCTAAAAAAATAATAAGCAATTCATTTAAGGTCTCTGTTTTATTGGGGCACCTCACAAGTGATTATCCTGTTGGTATATTGTTACTGTTATAGTGCAGGTGAAAAGTCACAGACCACCATACATACATGGCCAAATCACAGACCTTTATTTAGGCCAGAGACTAAGAGCAGACTCTTACCCAAAGAAACTCTAAGCACCAAAGCTTAGACTCTAGCATTTCTAAAGAGAAACCACAGTGACCTTGTCAGGTGTAGGTCAGGGGAACCTGGTGGCTTTTGTTTTGACTATATACTCAGCAGATATTTTGGATATGCATCTGAACCATGGAAAGTCCCAAAGCTCATTAAAGAAATCAGATAATTTTTTTTAAATTACCAACAGCGCTAGTAAATGTTTGTATCAGAGTCCAGTCCCAGGGAGCCATTGGAGGTAGCCCTATAGGAAACATGGTCAATATTAGGAGGGGAATTCGAAGAATTTTTGTTTTAAATTAGTAATGAAGATTACAATTTGGCCAAGCAGTGGCAGTGCACACCTTTGATTCCAGCACTCAGGAGGCAGAAGCAGGAGGAACTCTGTGAGTCTGAGGCCAGTCTGGTCTACAAAGTGAGTTTCAGAACAGCCAGAGCTGTTACACAGAAAAAACCTATCATAAAAAAATAATTACAATCTGCATCCTCCTTTCTCTCGGTTCTTTTGAACCAATGGATGGGTTTGAGTAGAGTGCGCTTGTCTCCTAAATTTGGCTCTAAAGGAAACACCTGCAGCGGAGGAAAACACTGTCCTTTGTGACACACAGGGAGTAGAGGCATCGATGTGCTTGCAGACAGCTGGGCACGTCTGTGTCTTCTGCCTCTGACACCTCTCAAGAGCTCTTCATGCAGTGTCCCTCTGCCACTCTCGTCTGGGCCCTTTCCCTCCCGTCCCACCTTGTCACTCCAGTCTATGGCTCCCCAGTTCCCAGCTAGCCAGTTGCTGATCGATGAAGCTTGGTAGTCTTCATGCCAACGTAAACAGCTTAGAAAGCTGCCCTGCCTGGGCAGATGTGTCAGTCTCTTCTCACCAGGGAACTATAACAGTAAATGACTGAGTTCGATACTCTTAAGCAGCTTTGTGTTTTATTTTTCACTGTAATAGCCACAAACATAAAAAATAGTTCATAAATACATGTTGCATTCTTTACTCTGCAGGCAATGTCACCGCATACAGGATTTATGGAGCTTCTGAAAGCAATGCTGTGCCCCTGGCATTCCAGGCTATAATTACCAGTCTCCTTAGGACACTTCGATAAAACCGCACTGCTTTCCCTCCAAGCTCAATTTATAGAGTAGGCAAAGCTTGGCAGCCTAGTCCTGGACTTCTGCACAGCAGTCCCGCCTTCCCCATAGCTCACCCTCAGCACTCAGCACCTGAGGGCCACAGTCTGCTGCCTTCTAGTGTCCTGAGAGAAAATAGTGGCACCAGGTTTACTTCCCCAGAGACTTGAAGTAGAATTGAGGTGCAGGTGTTTGTAAACAGTAATGTGTCCGTATGTGGCAGAGTAGGAAGTAGAATTTTTAAGACTTCCAGCCTGTTGGTTTTGAATAAATACTGCTGAGGAAGACATGATGTCTTCTAAAATACTGAAACGATAGGAATTTTCTGTTAAAAAAAAGTCACCCACCTCAATCCGTGGGTGCAGAGAGGCAAAGACATGTTAATTAATCATTGCTGAGGGTGTGAGCGTGGGAAACATGCAATGGTGGTCATTATTAGAAGGCTCTTGAGTAATCATCGAGTAAAGAAACAGTAGCTGGGTAATAGTGGTGCTTGCCTTTAAACCCAGTACTCAGAAAGTAGGGGCAGGTGGGTCTCTGTGACTTCAAGGCCAGCCTGGACTACAGAGTGAGTTCCAGAGTTCCAAGACAGCCAGGACTCTTACACAGAGAAAACCCTGTCTCAAAAAAAGAAAAGGCAAAAAAAAAAAAAAAAAGAAAAAAAAAAGAAAAAGGAACAGGAAGAAAGATAAAAGTACTTCTCTGTGGAGATCACTATTATGCAGAGGAAAATGGCCTCCTGGGCTGAGATGCCCTAACGATAGAGCATTGTCTAGTGCAGCAGCACCCTGGTGTAGATCGCAGCCCTGGGAGAAAGAAACCAGATCCCAAGTCAAACGTGGCTGTACACACCTGTAATTCCTGCACTCTGTGAGGCTGAGGGGAGACTGCAAGCTCCAGCATGCCTGTCTTAAACAAGCAGACTGGCCTTCAAATTCAGTAAAACCTCCACTGACAATAACGCACTGCATTTAAGGTGTGTATAGTCTGAAACATCAAGAGGACTGTTAGGTCATTCAAAACATGCTGTAGAGTATTCCTTTACACTGTGTGAGTATGTCACTATGACTGATTAATAAACAAGCTGACTGGCCAATAGCTGAACAGGATACAGTTAGGCAGGAGACGAGGAAGGGCAGAGTCAGGAGTCACCAGCAGACACAGAGGGTGCAGGAGATGACTGTGCCGTGTTAATAAAGGTACCTCCATGTGACGGAGCGTAAATAAGGAACATGGGTTAACTGAAAATGTAAGAGCTAGTTAGTAATAAGCTTGAGCTGTCGGCGAGCATTTACAATTAATATAAGCCTCTGTGTGGTTATTTGGAAGTGGCTCCCAGAATGGGAAAACTCCACCTACAAAAAACGTTACGACAAGGATGAAGGAAGTAGAAGGTGAGGTGAAGAACCAAATGGAATTGTATGAGGAAGACAATTCATCTAAACAACATTTTATATAATTTGTGGTATAAATGCAAAGATTTAAATATATAAATAATTTAAATGGACTTTATATCATTTGCATGTATAGCACTATACATTAAATAGTACTTTAAATATACTTTTTGAAGATTACTGCGTGTAGATACATACACCATGTGCACACGGTGTTTATGGAGGCCAGAAGAAAGCCTCAGATTCCTTAGAACTTGAGTTAAGTAATTTTTCAAAGCTCATAATCAAGTTGGAAGACAAAATATATATATATATAGTTAGGAATATATGTATATGAATGTGCATATATGTATGTGTATGGAGGATTCGAGAAAGTGTCCCTGGGTTACTATAATCTTCATCCACCACAATCTCTCCTCCCTAGCTCCCTAACTACATGGAAAACAAGGTCCCCCAATTGTAAGAATTTCTTAGGGTGCATATTTAAAATACTGTTCCCTAGATGACGTCCCACAAATTTGATTCAGAAAGGATGAGGTATGTAGGGATGGAAATCTGCTGTATTAAACATCTTAGGAAACGGTTAAGGCCTAGACAGTGAAATAAGACAGTACTTTGTGGACTAGCGATTGTTTCTCACATTGAGCCCCAGGTAAGTAACTTTCCCACTAGATGGACACAGAGATCTCTTTAGGTGGGTCACTTCTCTGCACTGCTACCTTGTTAAAGGTAGCTCATAATCACCACTGCTTACAGGCTGCCTCCATGAATAGGGTTGAGACCCCAGAGCTTATCTTCCTACAGGGCTGGAAAGGAAGCTGCAGACAGGCTTAGTTAGGTTGGAGGTCTGATTGTCCTGCTGTAGTTGAGTGACTCCATTAAGAGTCCCCGTTCCTAAAAAGGCTATTCATTTTATGATTCTGTTTATAGAAATCAGAATACTTCATCTGCTCCAGGAACTTATTGGTAAAGCTCAAGGAAGCTGGATGGCCAGGGTCACGGAAGCTGGAGAGACATTAGTGATTACACCTTTAGTGTAGCGGCTCAGTGAGCTGCCATGGGAAGCCAGACTTGCTGGTTCTTGGGGGTGCCAAAGGAGCACCAAAGGGAAACTCGTGGATTCTTAAGCCTGGAAAAGATCAATGTCATCTGAAATAACAGAGGGCCTCAGACATCCATGCTTTTATGAGCCAATAAACTCACAGTACAGTTCATGGTCAAGAACAGTACAACCCTAACGGGCATGTCCCAAATTAAAAATATGGTGTAGTAAGGGCTAAAAGGGCTGACACACTTGCCCAGTATGTGTGAGGAGGCCCTAGGCTGAACTGATGCTGAAGAAAAATGGGATTTAAAATGAAAGTATAAATTCAAACTGGGTGTAATGGTACATACCTTTTATTCCAGCACCCAGAAGACACAAGTAGCCTGATCTATATTGTTCCAAGGACAGGCAGGGCTATATAATGAGACCATGTCTCAAAAGAAAGTGTACTTCAATTTACACAATGATTTATCTTTATTTGCATAAAATTAGAACTGAGTGATCAAGAGACGTTTTGCTCCCCGTCAAGCCTGGCTATATAAGCCTGTAGCCCAGCTGCAGAGGGGCTGAGGCGGGAGGATCTGTGAGCCCAGAGGTTCAACACCAACTTGAGTAACATAGAGACCCCACTTCAAAAAGTGTTTTTTTACTTCTTACATAACCAATAAAACAGGGACACACACACACACGTGTGTATATATGTTCTACACATATATATGGTAAACATCTTAAATAAGAAAGGCAATACTACTGTCAACAAGAGGTCATTCTGTTCCCAGAAAACTAAGCTATGAGTTTGCTACCAAGTAATCAGCATACAAACATGCTTTTAAGTTGGCAGTTAGCACTCCTGATGTGTGCTAACAGCGGTTATAAATGGTATACTATCAACAGTAAAACACAGTGTTCTCGATTACAAACTACACCCAGTCTGTGTTTGTTGAGTGCATACTGTACTTTAATCATCACAACAGTGCCATTGTTTTTATGAATTTTGTTTCAAACAGAGTTGGCATATAACCCATACATAATAGTATTGCTGTGATTTTTAGTCACTTCATATTTAAGGACCCAAAATATATTATATTCAAAAACTAACACTTGGCTTTTATTTACATTCCTTTGAAAGCACTTCATGTTCTCAAGCCCTAAAACCAAACAAAAATGTCCTGGTGTGGCCACTGTAGCCAGAAGTCTGACATTTCCGTTTATAGTTACACTTGAGCTTAAACACAGATCTACACAATGCATTCACTCCCAAATCTAAGATAAAATATGAAACAAATGTAAAGATATGTTGCAATTCTAGTCACGGACTTGAAAACCTGCATCTTTAGAGTCATTGTCACACAAGGTTTGAGGCTGTAATCATTAGTATTAGCATATGAGTAACTAAAGAGTGCAGTTACGATCAGGAAGTGGGCCCTACCTCATTGGGTTGTTTCTGCCTATCCCCCAAAGAATCCCATGCTCTTGAAGGGATAGGCTTTTAAGGCACATTTCTACAAAAACCTTTATATAACCAGCTTAAAAATGGAAGCTCCACTTCTATATGGTAGTTTTATGGGGTTCACCAGACAGGCAAGTGTCTTATCTTGAAAAATAGTCTTATTAAAAATGCAATTCTGCAATTCTGTCTGTTCAAAGAGAAATACTTTGTAAAAAACTATTAGGGAGCCAGGAGACCAGCCTAGTAGGGACCCTGCCCAACATGCACAAAGCCCTGGGTTCCTTCGATGCTGGTGCACTCCTGTAATCCCAGCACTTCAGGGGAATGGAGGCAGAAGATTGAGGCCAGCCTGGGTTACCTCAGACCCTGTCTCAAAAAAGCAAACAAACCGCTCTCTCTCTCTCTCTCTCTCTCTCTCTCTCTCTCTCTCTCTCTCTCTCTCTCTCTCTCTCTCTCTCTCTCTCTCTCTCTCTCTCTCTCTCTCTGTCTCTCTCTCTCTCTCTCTCTGGTGTACATGTGTGTAGGAATTAGACTCCTAAGAGTAGTCCACCTCCATCCAGCCTGCTGGCAAAGGCCCATCAGGGAATAGACAATAGTCTTCACACAGGGATCATAAGGAAGGAGGCATGGTGCGTAGTGATTGTTAGAAAACCCCTTAATACCACAGACTATTGGGAGGCTCAGCTCTCAACTAGTCAACATCTCATTTCAGTTAGCAGCTTCAGAAAAGCTGTCCCAGCAAGACTGCACATGCCTCTGATCCCAGCACTGGGGAAGCAGAGACATGGATCTGTGAGTGCAAGGGCAGCCTGATCCACATACTGACTTCCGGGAAAGGCAGGGCTACAAAGTGAGACCCTGTCTCAAACAAAACAAACATGCACGTGAGTGTGCGTACACACGCGTGCACACACACACACACACACACACCAAAAACAACAAACAAACAAGTATAAGACTTGGGGAAGGGGGAGCAAGAAGATGAGGAGACAACACTTAAAAGTGGGCTTCGGAAAAGCTGCGCTAGACACGTCATATATTTTTGCAAAAGCAGTTCTGTGTCCCTAGGGGACTCTGATTTAAAAAGAAACCTTTTCTAGTGTCATGCACACCTGACAGTGCTAACCTTTGGAATGGTTTGGTATAGGGCTAGATTTCAGACTCAGTTCCCTGCTCATCTAAAACAAGAAACCCATGGCTCACTTACACCTCTTTAGGCCTTCCTTTTCCCGCTGGCCACAGCTTTCCTGTGTCAGCTGTCTTGGAGAGCAAGCTGGTGGCAAGCTGAACTCGGTAAGCACAGGCGGAGGACAAGAGGCACGCTGTCGCAGATGAAAGGGTGATTCTGGTAAGACTGAGCCACCAAGGACTAAACTCGACAGTGAGGACGAAAGATCTGCTGCGTGCCTGTGGTCACAGAGCAGTAAAAACTTGTCCTGAACAAAGACTTTAACAGCACAACAGCAGGCCATTCACAGGGGCCACATACACAAGTACACAAGTGTGTTTACACTGAGTGGCCATCTGCCTACATCCGGAAAGCCTCTTGGCTCTGCTATTTTAGCCTCCGTGGCAGGTATAGATGTATCTCCAGAATGTTTCCCCCAACAAACCCATGCTATTTTCCCATCTCCTCCAACACCATTCATATTTCTTTATACTGATTGGCATCATTTTAGAAATCTGGTCCCAAAGGTTTATGAGAATAATGCAGCCAAAAGAAATCACCCACCTGAATAAAGTGACTACAAAGATGTGTGTTGAGGTAAAGACTGGGTGAATAGGAAGGCCTGGACATAGGGATACAAGCTTGGATGAAAGCCTGGCACTAATATCTTCCTACAAAATTCCCATTTACACTCATTACAAACAGGAGAAGTTCTTATTGCTCTCGCCTGGGGCTCCCAGCCTGACTACTCCTGCTCCACTGAAAAATTATTTCCCCCTCAGCAACTGGTAGCAAAGATTCCCAAATTTACAAAAGGTCGTTATCAATGTATTACTTTGGATTGATTTCCGATAGCCATATGGACTACAGCATGTACATTCTTGACACCAAGTGCAGAAAAGAGTTTAGAAAAGTCATCAAAGTTCATCTCAGTGAGGAAAAAACATGAAAAAGTGCAAAATATGTACAGTTCCTGGCAGGGGATTCTTCTGTCAACATAGAAGTTTACATTTATATAGTGGAGTTCAGAGGGGGTTCGCTTTATTGTTACTGTACAGGGTTACTGTACAGCACTTCAAAGTGCTGATTGTATTTTAAAAAGAGTATTCTTTTTCCTTAGCAAATCTATGTCCGTGTCCCAGGCGCCTCCTTCCTGCAGTGCAGTGGTGCTCAGCACCCCCATCACGTCTGGGTGCAGGCTCCTGACAGCTCCTACAGCAGCACTCTAGGGGTCCCGTTAGGAGTAGTTCCTTTCTTCTTCTGCAACCGACTCTGGGCTTTTCGAGATTTCACCATTTTCATTCTCACCTCAAAAACTTCATGGATGGCCTTCCGGAAGCAGTGAAAATTATAGTCAATAAGGCCTGCAGGAGAAGACGAAAACAATTTAAATAGCACTAGAAGCAACTCGTCATTCTTGCTATCCTTCACCAGTAGGGGGCAGCAGAGGCACAACCATCATGTAACAGGCCTAGGCCTCAGGAGGCAGGCGGTCTTGTGAGGTAGGTGTTTCCTGAAGACTATTCCAGAAGCTTCCCGTGTTTTTGGCACATTTCCAAAGGTGTCTGTCCCCCCAAAAAGATTTTGGAAAACAAAACTTCACTAACTTCTTTTAATCATTCAGATTAAAGATAAATCAAGGGCTATCAAGATGGCTCAGCAGGTGTTTGTTATGCAAGCCCAATGACCTAAACTATACCCCAAACACAAATAAAGGTGGAAGGAGAGAGCCAACTCCACACACTCAGTAATAGCAATAAATATCATTTTAATTTTCAAAAAGGGCTGGCTTCAGAAGCCTAACCTAAATTCCTCAGAACCCATCTATGAGTTCTGGGCCAGCCAGGGCTACACAGTGAGACCCTGTCTCAAAAGCAACTAAATAAATAAGGTAGGAAACAATAGAGAAAGACACCACCAAACACACGTGCATACACACACATTAAATATGAGCAGAGGGGCCGGGCATTGGTGGTGCATGCCTTTAATTTCAGCATTTGGAAGGCAGAGGCAGCCAGAACTCCAAGGTCAAGGCCAGCCTGGTCTACACAGTGAGTGTCAGGATAGTCAGGGTTACACAGAGAAACTCTGTCTCCATGAAACTATAAATGTGCCCATTTCCCTACATCCCTTAGGTATAGCATTAAGTTAAACTCAACAACTAGGTTTCTAGTTAGTTTACCATATTCTATAAAACCTGCCTGTCAGTAGACTGTGGTTTTGTAATAATTTATCAAAGATTATATGATCAATTCCTACTTAAATTTAGTTCCACACAGTCAGATGTTAAAATTAGTGGTGGGGGTTAAAGACCAACTGGATTTGTGCAGCATGAAGCATTTAACTTTAGAAACTTTGTAATAGAAACCCTGACATGACTTTAATAGAGATTCCCCAGGAATAGACAGAAAACATGCAGGATCACAGCAGGAAGGACACAGTGGCATTTCTGTGTGGGATTCCTGAGGGTGTGAACAGTTCATTCCAACTAGAAATGGCAATACTGTCAGTTCCCAGGTCAAATGTTGTCAAAGGGGAACTGGATAAGGACTTGAAGAGTATTTACTATTGCTGCAACTTTTCAGTTAATTATATAATTGGTTCAAAATAAACAAGTCCTCTACCCTAGCTCAGATGTTCCTAAACTTTAGAACCTGCTCCCAGGTGAAGTTATACATCTATGTGGCCCTTGTTTTCCTTAGCTACCAAAATCCACAGGAAATACCAACCAACAATAAATATGGGAAGAGATTTGGAATGTGTGTGTGCATGTGTGTATGTATGTGTGTGTCTACACCCAGCTGTACACCTCAAAGAGCCTAGCTCTCCATCTTTCTCTTTCTTTTAGATTATAATTTAGTTACAACATTTCTCCCTTCTCTTTTCTCCCTCCTTCTTGTTCTTCAAATTCATGACCACTTTTTTCACTGATTGTCACTTCATGCATATATGTATATAGGTAAATGTTCCCAAACAAGGCCAGCTCTGCTCAATCCACATATTGCCACCATATATTTCAGGGCTGCTCATCTGGCACTGGACAACCATCAGTGTGCTCATCCTTGGGAGGACCTCCTCCCCTGCTCCCTGGCTAGGCATCCTTTGCCCCGACATGAGTTAGTGCTGTCAGCTTGCCATAAGGCCACTTATATTTTGGGTCTGAGTAAAATCATCTGTATAGTGCGAGAGAAGAACAGCCCTTTCTATCTTCATCTGTTGACATGGGATGCTCAGCATTGGGACCGAACCTACAGCATCACGCACGAGAGGCAAGCCTCTACCACCATGTACTGGCCCAGTCCTGCTGCGTGTCTCCCAAAAGAAGCTCACAATCTAACAGATAATCTGTTATTCTTTCCAACAGATGGAAATAAGGAGCAAAAGATGAACACTCTTAAAAGTTTCAAGGCCAAATGACACAGAAGTCAGTTTGGTTGGTCACTGGGAGACGCACAGCCTCAGGACTGGATATGTAAATTTACATGAAAACCAACTTCCTAAAACAGTAAAATTCAATCTTGATACGAATAGAGCAAACTGGGCCTATGCTAATATTCACTGGAAACCACCGAAGCAGGCCTACCTTTCCAGCTGAGGAACTCCACCAATGCTATTGATGGAGTGGGGACTGGGATGCTCATTGGGCAACTGGGCAGCCAGTCTAGCAAAAAATGGTGACCTCTAGTTTCAGTGAGGAACTCTATCTCAAGAGAAAAAGGCAGGGAGAGACAGAGGCCTCTGTCAGCTCTTATGCATGCATACATATGTATGCACACAGAGACGCCACATACTACGTATATACCACACCTACCACACGCAAATACCATATACTAAAACACACACATATATACCACACATACCACATAAATACACTACATACAACATACACATATGCCACATACATCACACATATATACTATATGTATATATTTATACATCTATATATAACACAAGAATACACCACATACAACACACTAACACACAACATATAACACAGGTATATACCACACGTATACACCACATACAATACACCAGAGAGAGAGAGACAGAGAGACAGAGACAGAGAGACAGAGAGAGAACACAAAGCAGCTTTGTTACAGAGAAACTAAATGTGGCGAAAGTAGGGAAAAAACAGCTTTGAAATCATAGCAACAGTGCAGCCAGCCTTGTTGAGAGGAAGGGATGATGTAGAGAGAGGAAAGGAGGGCAAGAGAAAAAACTCTCAGAAATTTAACAGGCGGCCTAACTCAGACGTGAAGTTTCGTTTTGTTCTCTGTCTTCCTTAACTGTAGAGCAAGTTTATCGTGAGCTGTAGGACAGCAGAAGCTGCGAGTGCAGCCATTACCACTGGGTGTCGCTGGTTCGCCTTGCGTTGCTTAGCTTTGCTTTCTGCAGCCCAGGTCTCTCTCTGAGCAGATTAACACCCTGTGAGTCCCTGCAGCACTGTTAGCAGTAAGCAGTACACTACATTCCCGCTACCAGTAAACGGCCCTAGCCACACTAGCATCATTTAGAAAGAAAAAAATCAGTTAATTGTTTTCATTTAAAACACACATACCCATCGCCAACAACTGAGTTTGACGCTTACGTTTCTTTAGTATCAGTCATTCCTTCAGCGGGTGGATCATGACACTATCCCTGCTGTTTAAAGAGATTACGTGACTGCTACGCAGAAGACCAAAGCCGTCTACCCCTAGTGCTTCTATAATCGGGAGAACAATGGCCACAGGGTTCGTCTAACACCCAGCTCTGTATGGCCCAAGACAGGCCCCCCTCCTGTTACACAGGCTAGGAAATCTTTCCTGATTTAACAGCCTGGCTAAGTAAAAGCTAAGGCCCCAGGGGGTGGGGTGGGGTGGGGTGGTAGGTTCTGGTTCTAATTCCACCTCCTCCCAATCATAGCTGCACACCAGGGTAGGCAGGTCCAGACACCCACTCATGCAGGGTTTGCCGCGGGCCTGCTAATTCGGGGCCGTGTGAGCAGAGTCCAGGGGCTTGGAGTGCGGACTACACACACTCAACAGGCGACGGAGGCGGTCCTTTTTAAATCACACCAAAAATTACCTTTTCTTTCAAAGCTTTCCTCTCTGACGAAGCAAACGAGCGCCAAAAACTTTGTCACCTCTTTTAAATAAAGAACTGTTGTATTATTCAGCTTTATAATGGCTGTGGATTCCTTGTCATACGGGGCTCCTGCTCCATCTTCTTTGAGACTAAATGGAGACAGAAAAACCAAAATGCATTTGACCTTCAAGAAAGAACCACAAAGTGCAACCCAGCGACAGACCCCCCACTTCGACACACAGAAAGCCACCACCCTATGGAGCCATTTACACTTGGAGTGCCTTTGGGTAAAAGATCGACGTAGCACAGGTGTAGCAGCTCAGACAGTCACTCTCTTACCAACACAGTGAGTGGGTACTGTGGCAGCTGGGCCCCTATCGAGGTGCCTGAGGAGCACGAGTGGAGGTAGAGGCTAGTCTGCATGTCTCTATAACCAAAGGCATCTTGTTTTTACATAAACCGAGGCTGCCAAAAGCAAGGGCAAAGACTTCCAAAGAGAATCCACACAGGCCGGACAGGCAAACACTGGGCTTGGCTTAGGCCAAAGGAAAAACTGCTAGAAAAAAGAATTAAGAGTGTGTGGCTATGCAGGGCAGTGGGAGGCAGCGCCAGGTGGATCTCTGTGAGTTCAAAGTCAGCCTACTCTACAGAGCGAGTTCTGGGGCAGCCAGGGCTACATGGCCCAGGAAACCCTGCCTCAAAGGGAAAAAAAGGTTGTGGACATAGGTCAGTGGTAGCACCCTTGTCTAGCACAAGTGAGGCCCTAGGGTCCATCCCTCAGCTCCACAGAAAAAGGCAGTACCAGAGGACTACTGGTAAAATTTGAGTATGGTACATATTCAATTAGATAACAGAGTATACTAGACGTGCTATATTTGCCTTGCTTGATAATTTAAACTATCGTCCTGCAAAAAGGTGTCCTTGTTCTCGGAAAATACGAAGAATCCACAGATCTACAACTAATTTCCCAGCAGTCCATCTAAAACACAAACGATAGACATGTATCAGGAAAATAAAAGCCAATGTGTCCACATGGTTAAAAACGGGCAAATCCCCAAGAAGGACAAATAGTCCATCGTGCAGTCATTTTCCGTAGAGTCAACATTTCCAGGTATGGTCCATGGAGAGAGAGCCTGTGTGAGCTTGAAGAAGCTGAGTAACTTTAGGCCTCACTCTCCCCATACGCACACCATCAACACTCCCAATTTCCTCCTGGGGAAAGGGCGTGATCCAGCCACATCCCTACAGTGAGAGAACACAAAATGCAGCTAGCTGCTAATATCATGACTTTAGGGATCAAAGCAGGACCTGCTCAAGACACTGGTGTAACTGGTTCTGAATTCTTTCCTCACAGACAAAGGAAGCGTCTTTGTACCTTTTCCCTTTATCTGAAACTATGTACATTTTCTGGCGTATTATCCAAATTCATGAATATGTGACTAAAATTTGACTCAGTTGGAATTACGCTAAGCCTTATCAATTTTACTCCAAAATTACTGTGCAGTAAACAGGTGACCATACCCAGTTCTGATCACATACTAGCTGCAGAGAAAATGCTCTAAACCAGACAGATACTGAGGAAAGTTGGGCTGAAAAAAAAATAATAACTTAGGCAAAGCTAATGACAGAGGTAAACCAGGATCTAAAATCCAGACCTGACCAATGTCAAGGCTGATGCTTTAATCTTACAGAGATAAAAAAAAAAAAAAGGGCTTGGGCAGCAAGCAGGACACAATGAAGAGACTGATCTGGAGGGGTGATGCCTACTGGCTTGTTGACCATGGCTTTCTTAGAACCTAGGACCACCAGTCCAGGGATGGCACCACACTCAGTGGGCTGGGCCCTCCCATATCAATCACTGATTAAGAAAATGCCCTTCAGGCTTGCTTACAGCCCATCTTACAGAGGCATCTTCTCAATTGAGGTCCCCTTCTCTCTGCTGACTCTAGTTTGAGTCAAGTTGACATAAAAACCAGCAAGCACACTGAGGAAACTCTAGAGCCCACAAACCACTGTGATCCGGTCCAGTTCTTATGGAATCTGTGGGGTCTCGGAACACCAGGACTCTACCCGTCCCTGGCGAAGCCTCCATTACAGCAAAGCCGTCCTGGAAAAGCCCGACTCCCGCTGCACTCATGTTTGTTTTAGCTGGTGAGAATACCGCTGATGAACATCATTTACCCAACAACTCACCACTTATGTCTAATTACCATATGGCATAATAATGGACATGCATATCATTAAATGTGTGCCAGATATTTGTGCTGTTCACTGTACTTGATTACCATAGCAACTGAGATGGTAATCAGACTCACTCAGCCTCCAGGCCCAACTCAGGGTCATCCATTTACCGCTTATAAATAATAGACTATCACAGGGTCATAATCATGAGGAAGGGAGAGCTAGCTGTGCATGTCTGACGGCAATGATCAATTATGGCAAGTACACTTTATCCAGGCCCTATCAGGGCAGGAAGATTATGAGCCTAACAGTGTCTGCCACAGTCTTAGGAGGTTAGCATGCTATGTGGACACACGAGTTTACACGTGCATGAATGTATATGCAACAGACTTTAACAGAAAATCTCACTGGATGGGCAAAGAATTTCCAGATGGTGGAGGACAGAAGCCACCAAGTTTGGAACTTCTGGAAGCTAACAGAGCAGGCAGAATGCCGAGTGGTGAGAAGCAGAGAGGAGAGCGGTGGAACACAGGGTCTGAGAGAGCAGCTAGCCGCATGCTGACAACATCCGGTAACAGCTGGCTCACACGCCAACCAGACTTCTCAACAGATTCCCAAGCATCGAGGTCGTTTCTACCTCTGGTAATGCAACTTTCTCTGCTCGCTAATATTATTTTAAGCATATATAGGAAGTTTGGGTTTCTATGAATGCTAAGGCCAAAATAAAAACTAGCAGATGTTATTTGACTAGTATTATAATTCTCTGCTACCTAGACAATCAAAACCAAATTTAAAAAAATACTGAGCAGGTATTTTCTGTAACAAACAGGATAATGGAAATGTTCTCAATGGCTTATGGATCTATTTTTACCCCATGGGGTGCACTGTGTGCAGGTTTTCAGCGTCAGATCATAATCATTTAGCCCAGGGTTCAAAGTCTAGTCTTTTCTTGCTGACAGAAAGAGCAGCTGCTAGAAATTTCACCTTTCTAAAGTCCATTGCTGCATCTGTAAAACAAGTACGGTAATTTCTGCTTCATGGAACAACTGAATTAAATGAGATGATATATGCAACAAAGTTTTAATAATAATAATAGGCATTTGTTCAATAATTACCTGTTATTACTGGCATTTTAAATGGTCTATTTATAGATCCCAGTCACTTGAAAGCACAAAAGTCAAGTGAATAAATACAAAAGGGTCCAGAAGCTATGAAAAGGAAGGCAGGTGGGTGGTCCTCCCTCCCCTCCCCCTTTTGTCCTCCCTCTTTCTGCCGTGCTGGTCTCAGGACTCGTTTCATAACTGAGCCACACCTCCAGCCCTGGGAAGGACAGCGTAATAAATGTTTTATTTGGGGACGGGAAAGCATGATCAGAATATATTGTCTGAAAAGAAGAACTTGCTTCAATTACAATAAAAGAGAGAGTTTTGCTTACCCATAAATACAAGAGATGTCAATCACCACGTCTATCATATCGCAGCAGAGCTCGTAAGTCTGCATGTCCACTGGAGTACTGTCGGTCGCAATGTAAATCTTACTGACCACATCAAACAGAAATGCCTTTTCAATTCCAGAATTCTGAGGGGGGCCGGGGGAAAGGACATGCCTTAAAGGAACAGCAAGGTCAGACCACTTCAGAGTTACATAAAAAGCGATATCCACTCCACTAAGGGAAGAGAGGATGGGCGCACTGAAATACGCCTATGCCTCTGTGAAACCGTCACAGTGAAGCCTTCTAATTCCTACAGTCAATAGACAATAACTTTACAACAAAGTGGTCTCTTTAAAGATTTAAAACATATATGACATCCCCAATGCCATATATAAATACTCAAAATTACTAGGCACCCCTGCTGCACCATTTTATTGCAATTTAAACTTTACTGTCATCCATTTTATGATGAATTTGAAAAAAAAAAGGTAGAATTAGCCTACGTTATTCATCTTTGGTAAAGCACTTGGGCAATGTTTCCTAACTCTTGGCCTGCCCATTTGTAGGACTCAGGCTTATCACTCACAAGTGTTAAATTAGTGGATATTCAAATACAGACAGAACCAAGGGGGTTTTAAAAGGTTTTCTTATATTTATTTATGTATTTCTTGTGTTTCTGGGATGGTTAGGACTTGCAACAGCACAGATGCGAAGGTCAGAGGTCAGCTTTTGGGAAGGAATCGGCTCTCTCCTTGTACTATGTGTTCTGGCCTGTACTCTGGTGGTAAGGCTCGACAAAGGTGCCTTTGCTGAACTAACTTGCTGGCCCCAAAACATTCTTTCTTCTCCATACCCAACGTAAGGCTCTGTTAATACTGATGAATATCCTACTGCCTGAATACAATCTGAGTGCACCAGGGAAACATGCATTCCCGGAGTTACAATGTAAAGGCTCTAAAACAAAACGTGGGAGTAATCTTCAAGAGCGATGTTAAGATGTCCCTGAAATGCAGGCAGCTATTATACTTGTCACTCTTGCCATGCTACTCTGGAATTCTGCAGGTGACTTGAGCAGGAGGAACAAACCATCTACTTACCGAGATAAAGATATTCAGCAGATTCTCCAGCGTCGGGAGCTGTGGGATCAGTTTCTGAACCACTTTACTGAAGGCTTCAAATATCGAATGGTCATAGATGCTTGTCAGATAAAAGCTGGAAGAGAAGGCATTTTTCACCATGCTCCCTCTGACTGAGCAGGTGTCTTGGGCTCTGTCACTAGTGCCAGTAATCTTATGTATAATTTTAACACACAACCAGTAGCCCCCTTCAGAATTCATAATGACCTTAGTCAAAAGCAAGTGTGTCCTAACAGGCAGCCTCCATCCCTCCCTAGTGCCAGAGCCACACCCAGACTGCACTGTCTGGCAAGCGTTGGAGTTTGGTCATCCTTGTCCATGTGAACATCCTTACACTCCACAAGAGACCCTATACTCATCTCTACACAAGTCTCTAGTCAGAGTAGTAACTTCTACATTATTGTCACCTTCCAATTTGCAAAGTTGATGATTACGCACTATCCTACCCCACAAAACAGATGGGAGAAGTTGTCCTCTATCTTCCTATCCTAATGATTTTAAGCCTCATCTGTTTGAGGTTATAAATACCATCCTATTAGCAGTGCTATTATTGACTACCAGTTAGTATCCTGGGTTAGAGCCATGAGTTTTGTTGTGTGTGTGTGTGTGTTTTTTTAAGATTTTTATTTATTATGTATACAGTATTTTGCCTGCATGTCTGCCTACAGGCCAGAAGAGGGCACCAGATCTCATTACAGATGGTTGTGAGTCACCATATGGGTGTTGGGAACTGAACTCAGGACCTCTGGAAGAGCAGCCAGTGCACTTAACCACTGAGCCATCTCTCCAGCCCTTGTTGTGTTTTTTGTATGAGATAAGTTTAGCTTTGACAACTTGTTGAATACAAGAGTAAAACAAAACACTATTTTCACCAAAGGTTAGCATTTAACAAGTACAAAACATCTTTGATCCTATCCCAGCACAAAACAGGTTAACTAGTAAACTGCCATCCATGCTGTCCATGCCCAGCCAGCCCACACCCAGTCAGCCATGGTGACCGAAACCCAGGCCTACTTGCTCCAGCCTTTCTTAGGACCCCGACCCTAAGGAGTACTAGCTCTTACCTCAGGTGAATTTTTTCTAATCCAGCATCGGCAAGGTCATCGTTTGCCCTCTGGTGAATGTCTCTTTGGGTTTCAATTTTGTGATCATCTGACAGACCATCCACTTTATGAATGAACACCTCGAAGTTAATGTCAGTATTTACTTTGTAGGCCCTGGTCACTGTGAGGTGCAGCCTGGCCAGTGCTTCCATATAGTCATCCTGGAACAAATTTCAAGCCTTCAGCTTTGTTTCCAGAACCTTCTATACACACTCATCACCTGGAAACACATCTGCAATCTTCAAAAATATGCTGCCAAACTCCCAACATCCCTAACAAAATAATTCCAGCATCACAGACTTTGAGTATACAAACTGATCTGGGTAGTCACAGTGTAGGTTGTTGATAGCTATGAAGACAGGAGCTGCAACTCCAGGAATGAAACTGGACCAAACCTAGGTTCTCTGAGGAATAGGATGCCTCCCAGCTGCCCAAGGCCCTCAAGGATGCGATGGAGACACCATAAGGCTGGGTAGGAGGATGGGAAGGAATTTAATTCTAATCCACGACCTGCAGCCCTCCTTCTGGCTTTTGTAACCAAGTGACACGGGGTTGGCTGAGGCATAGTCGCTGTCTGTATGCTCTCCAGGACTGCTCAGTGCCACAAAGCAGAGGAGAGGGGTCTTCCTCAGAGACTCCCACAGAAGTGCAGTCCCCAGAGCCTCCACCTCCAGCCCTGTACAGAGAGTTTGAGACTTCTGGTCTAGAGCAGTTGTTTCAAACACCACAATACTGTGTTCTTCTCCTTCCTACGGATGTATAATAAAATAACAAACACCTGCCCACCCGTCTTCAAACTATCCGTGTCAGGAATGATGGTTCGCCCTTGCAATTCTAGCAGTTGTGGGGGTGGGCTGAGGCAGGAGGATTGCTATGAATTACAGGCTAGCCTGAGATATTCTTTGAGATTCTGTCTCAAAACAAGCAAACAAAAAAATTGAGATGGAGGTACAGGTCAGTGGTAGACATCTTCCTTGTTTAGTGTTCATGAGCATTTTGGCATTTAAGTCCCAATGCCATAAAAAATAAATAAGTGAATAAATCTTTTAGATAAGAAAAGACACTAAGCAGTGGTGGTACACACCTTTAATTCCAGCGCTCAGAAGGCAGAGGCACAGGTAGATCTCTGGGTTGGAGGCCAACCTGGTCTACAGAGTGAGTTCTAGGACAGGCAGTGCTACACAGAGAAACTTGTCTTGGGAGAGAGAGAGAGTGAGGGGGACAGAGGGAGGGAGGGGGAGGAAGAGGAACAGGAAGAGGAAGGAGGAGAAGGAATAGAGGAAGGGAGGGAGGGGGAAGAAGAGGAACAGGAAGAGGAAGGAGGAGAAGGAATAGAGGAAGGGAGGGAGGGGGAAGAAGAGGAAGAAGAAGGAGGAGAAGGAATAGAGGAAGGGAAGGAGGGGAAGAAGAGGAACAGGAAGAGGAAGGAGGAGAAGGAACAGGAGGAGGAGGAGGAGGGGGAGGAGGAGGAGAAGGAGAAGAAGAAGAAGAAGAAGAGGAAGAAGAGGAAGAAGAGGAAGAAGAGGAAGAAGAGGAAGAAGAGGAAGAAGAGGAAGAAGAGGAAGAAGAAGAAGAAGAAGAAGAAGAAGAAGAAGAAGAAGAAGAAGAAGAAGAAGAAGAAGAAGAAGAAGAAGAAGAAGAAGAAGAAGAAATGAACTGAATGGTCACTATCAAAGCCCCATCCGTCAGCTTCTTCCCAGTCCAGCCTCTCTACCACAGCCTTCTAAGTAACTAGCATTTGAGCACATCTATCCCACTCATCTGTTTACACTACAATCAACACATGTATCCAGACAGTATTTACATTGTTTATAAAGTTAGAGGTTGATGGGGTGGGATGTTTGATTTTGCATTTGTCTATTCTCCAAACTCCATCAATAAAACTAAAGCCTTTGACCCAAAGAGAGATATACATGGTACCCAGGAGAAGGGGAAGGACAGGATCTCCTGAGAGGATTGGGAGCATGGGGGAAGGGGAGAGGGATCTGGGAGAAGGAGAGGGAGAGGAGGGGAGAGGAGGAAGTGGGGGAGCAGGAAGTTTGAGTGTGTGGGGGAAAATAGAGGAGAAGAGGATGAAAAACACCATAATAGAAGGAGCCATTATAGGTTTGAGGAGAGATCTGGCACTAGGGAGATTTCTAGAGATCTACAAGGATGACACCAACTAGCAATCTAAGCAATAGTGGAGAGGCGACCTTAAATGCCCTTCCCTGATAATGAGATTGATAACTACCTTTTACGCCATCCTAAAGTCTTCATCCAGTGGCTGATGGAAGCAGAGGCCGACATCCACAGCTACACACTGAACAGCTAAAAACTGAACTGAACTCCTGGAATCCAGTTGCAGAGAGGAAGGTGTGATGGGTAAGGGGGTCAAGACCAGGCTGGTGAAGCAGCTGACCTGAACAAGGGGGAGCTCATGGACCCCAGACGGATGACTGAGAAGCCAGTGTGGGACTGATCCAGACCCCCTAAATTTGGGTGTCAGTGAGGAGGCCTCGGCAATCTATGGGGTCTCTGGTGGTGAATCACTATTTACCCCTGGCGTACAAATGGACTTTGGGAGCCCATTCCACGTAGAGGGATGTGCTCTCCGCCTAAACACATGGGGGAGGACCTGGGCCCTGCCCGGGATGATATGACAGACTTTGGGGATCCCCCATGGAGTGCCTCAACCCCCCTGGGGAGCCCAGGGAAGACACGATGGGGGGCTGATGGGAGGCAGGGGAGGAGGGGAGGGAGAGGGAGCTGGGATTGACATATTAAGCAGGCTTGTTTCTAATTTAAATAAAACAAATTAATAAATAAACAAACAAAGTCTCTGTAAATGGGTTAAAATATTAAACATATGGCGGGGTATTGGTGGCACACGCCTTTAATCCCAGCACTCGGGAGGCAGAGGCAGGCGGATCACTGTGAGTTCGAGGCCAGCCTGGTCTACAGAGCAAGTTCCAGGACAGCCTCCAAAACAATACAGAGAAATCCTGTCTCGGAAAAAAAAATTAAACATACGAACAGGAAACCAACAGGACACAAAAGTAACACATGGCTCCTTTCTCGTCTTCATGTGCTGCACTCTGTTTAAGAGAAAGGGACATGCTGGACAGCAGGCCAGAAGACTAAGCATTCAAATCTAAAGTGACACTCAGTAGCTCCTAATATCTAAACTTCTAGAAAGGCAGGTAATCTACAGGGATAAGAAACACAGCTGTGGTTTCCTAGGGCTGTGTCCTGGGGGAACAGTGTGTGACAAGCCCCCAGGGAGCCCTGAGGACAGAAAGATCCTATGTCTTCAATATGGGTGGTTACATGGGAGATACACTCTTAACCCTTAAAGTATGTACCTAAAGAAGCGCATTCTATTGCACTTAAATTATGTCTCAAACATGTTACTACTCGGATCTTTAAGGGGAAAGCC